TATTAGCAGAAAAAGTCTAGGGTAAAATTAGGCTTAGAACTTTGCTAGGTCAGGCCAAAGACTTATCTATTCCAGGACTGCAAGTTAGTTTATCTTTATCTTTATAATTCTATTCCTAAAATTTCAGTTCCTGATAAGGTAGATGAAAGTATCTCATGGAGAAGACTATCTTTGTAAGTGAACTATCTGTCCTATGTTCTCATTATGATTTAGGAAGAAGACTTAGTGCCTGGATAGACAAAAAATTCATATACTATTTATTGTTCAAATGTATGTGTGAAATCAAACTTATTTTTGTATGCTAGGCTCTTGAAGTAAAGGCAGTGTGTTTAATGAACAATAATCCAATTTGAAATACTCATGCAACATATGTCATTGCTGTTAAATACAGAAAAAACACAAGAATGAACAGAACATAACTTTATTGGGGATAGATTCAGCTACAATTTTACAAAAAAAAAGTATTAAAGGTAACTGTGATCCATAAGGTGCAGACTGCAAATTCCTGCAGCATGATTACAGTATGAATGAATTACATTTTATGTCCCTTAAGACAGCTGCAGCATGTGATGGGAATCTTTTACTGTCCATAAAATTATGTTATTCATTCTACTCAATTTTAACCGTTTTAAAGTCAAACTGTTAACAATTTAAAAGCCTGCAATTTTCAACTTTTTTCCAACTTCTGTTTCCATATAACTTCCTTTTGTAGTAAATCAGTTACATGAATGACATCAGTTTAAACAGTCTATAGTTATCCAAATTAAAAAACACAAAAAAGTAGAGGGAACCTGTAAGCAGACTTGGAGACAAACAGATATATGTAGAATTATTCTTCAAAGACATTGTGGCTACTGTTTTGTATTCTACACTGACCCCCTGGAGATCTGTTATCAGACTTCTGCTGGTGATGCTGTTAGGTTTCAGTTGTTTTATAGATGTAAATTATACATGTTTGAATAAAAAATATATAAATATTATCAAATCCTTCTTTACTGAACATGAAATTTGCCATCAATATGATTGATTCAACTTTGATTCAACATTGTGTTCATTAGTCACATACAACTAATTCTACATTGAAGAATATAGAAGAATAGTGCATGGCTTCAGTATGATCAAATAACTTCCAATTTGAAAAGGCCCTTACTATTAATCTATACCACTTATAGATGTGGATCTATTTAGAGCAGAACAGAACCTATAGTTACACTGAGAAGAACTTTTATAAAAAGTTACCAGATCCTTTCACATCCAAAATGAAGGAGAAATTAAGTGACCATCATGTAGACAAGAGAATTTACATCAAGGGGAGTAAATCAAAGTTAAATTTAACATTTAACCGTTTTATCAAAAATAAAAATGTGGTATAAGAAATAAAAAATAAGTCATAAGACAGAGGGAAGCATTTAGCAAGATTCTGTTCGTGCAAAGGTATACTCCTCTCAACTTGTTTCTGTTGCAGCCTCCTGTATCCACCAAAATATATACGCCTATGGAATTGAGAAACTTCCAAAAACTATGGCATAAAGCATCACCAGCTGCAACTGAAAGAAATCTTATAAAATGCAGGAGCACACACTTGAGGCAGTATCTTCTAATCATACCATGGAAATTTTTCACTAGTCAGTCATTTAAATGAAACAAATATAGTAACATGCCATAGGAAACCAACAGTAAATGGCCTTTTTCATTTGTGCAAGTTAACTGACATACTGCAAACACTCTAGTGGTCTTATTCAAATTCAGTAAACCAAAACAGCAGCAAGCCCCAAACCATAATTTCTGTTTTAAGGGTATTTCTCCTTGAAATGAGGTAAAGCATGGTACCAAGTGCAATGATTACTTGTGCTACATGAACAGGATAGCACAAAACAAAGCCATAATAAAAAATAAAAATGCAGCATAGTTAGGAGGACTGTAAGCAAGACAGTTTAACATATAGGCAAACATTGAAAATACATTTATGCCATTAACCCCTCGGATGTCTACATGACGAATCTGTGTTATACAATTTGAAGACAGGTTTGCAACAGTCCCTTTCATCTCATGCTTGTGGTGCATAAAAAAATATCGGTCCTAATTTTCAAATTTAAAGTTTCAAAAATACCCCAAAATACCCAATTGTATTTTCTAGAAAAGGAAAAACAGTTGTACAAAATCAAAATTTAATGTGTGGGTCTTGTGTTATGTTTGTGCATTCTAATAATTGAACTAAATGATAGAACAGAGACATTGTGGTACTATACACAGACACGCACAGTAGCAGCAGGACCCAGATTTATAATTGGTCTCTACTCAGTATTTTCAATTACATGGCTATGTTGCATTGTGGAGGCACTGAAAACTTTAGATTAGGGAATCTAATTATCAGACTCTTAAATTGCCATCATATAATGTCCTATTCTTTGAAATTATTGAAGTATGAAATGTGTTTATTGAATATATTTGGATTATATTTTGGGTATGGCATTTTATAAAACCACAAAAGTTTATATATGTGATTGGGATAATACATGTTCTTTTTAAAAAACTGTATGAATATTTTTAAAGGCTAATCTGGTTATCATCATGAAGAAAAAAATCATTTTAGTAACAATTATTTACTAGTGTTATATTCACTGAGCCACTACAGTGAATTTAATAATATTGATTTTAAAATCAGCTTTACTGTTCCATAAAGAGGTCTTATATGTCCCCCTTCACTGAAAGGAGAAATATGATGTATGAATATGGATACAACCATGAATATGGATACAACCAACTAAAGAGTCAGTGACTGAGGGGGAATTAAGTCTTGTTTCAACGCCATAGCATATATCCATAATCCAAAATACAGTCTCTTTCTCTCACTCTCTCTCTATGTAAATGGAGAGAGCACTATGTATTTGGCAGGTTTTTAATTATTTTTGAAAAAAAATCAACGGTAACCATTCATGCTGAAATGAAGAACAGACTAGTTTAAAGCTGAAAAGAAAAACTGCTTCTTCATCCGTCTGAAATGTTTGTGCTGTACACATACAAAAACTTGAACTGCATGTACACTTCCATGCATTTTATTCTCTCACTGAATTTAGCCACCCACAAATATTACTTTGATTCATTATTATGAATTTAAACAAGTCACTCAAAATTAAATCCTAAAATTTAACTTATTTTTTTTTCTAAGTTATGATTCTATTCTTCGCAAAGATAAGCCAGATGTTTTTCCTCTTTACAGTTTGAATGAATATGCTTGTGTGGAAAGGGGGATGTCTTTAAAAGTGGAGAATAGGATTATCTGTAATTTAGCATTTAAAATAGCGTCAAGAGTAAACCACCATGCTGGAAAACATTAAAGATTTTGCTCAGTTCTCTCAAACTTCAAGCATAATTAACAGGGGCAAAATTGCAGCAAACCTCTATTGATATTGGTGGGAGTGCAAGATGACCCACAGCTTTTTATAAAGGTAAATTAAGAGGTATTATAGTTACAGTGCAAAAATTAAAATTTCAAGCATAATACATACACATAGCACCAAAAACAAACAAAAAACGATGCATGCAAAAAAGGAGAAAAAAGACATAAAAAGAACAAAGAACTGAGGTATTTAAGTGAAGGGTGCCTACAAATGTATAAAGAAATTGAGGCATAGCCTAACAATTTACAATTTGATATCAACTTAAACAACAATAATAAGCTAGTTACTCTACATTAAGGAACCTAAGTCACAGATGTATCAAAAGTATGGCAGTTTCTCTCACACAACAACTTCCATGGCATTTTAACAGCACAACTTTGGTAGATGAAATATGCATGCAACTCTGAAAAGTACAGTAAGAATTATGTGGAAATTGCTTTTAAAGGTGTAAAGGTGCTCTATTTGTTAAATAGGTATCCAATAAAAAAACTGCAGCATATTTTAGGTGCGATATGTCAAAGGTTCTTTTTTTTCTTTTTTTAAAAAAGCAACAGTTCTCACTGTGCTATTATCATTACTAAGTTCCAGTAAACCATGGCAGTAATCCACCAAGAAAATCTCCTGCACAAGCCCCTTGAAATGAAAGGAAGTTCTACAAGAGTAATGGACACTGCTCAGTCTAAACTCTTGGTTTCTTAACCATGTAAATTAAGAAGAAACATTTCCTTTGCAATATCAAATAAACTCTGTACTAATAATTTCCTTTGAAATGTTAAAAATAACCTCACTACGTTATATATGAATACAATTCTATTACTTGCGTAATAAGTTAAGTCACAGCTAAACTAACAAGTACTGTAAATACAGAGACTTATCATTGCAAAATGCATCCTAAAAGTGTAGGGAGTATAATACAGTTTGTTCCAAAGAGATAAAAAAAACAGAAAAGTTTTCTAATTTTGAGGGTGTACGTATTTTTAAGGCAAGAACCTTTAATGCAAGACTATGTGGCATCATTTTAAAATTCTACTGAATGCAAGACATTTCAATTAAAAACCTGTCCCTAACAAATAAGTGCAATAATGATTGGGAATGCCATCTTAATGCAAAGATGACATGGAAAGAACAAGGACAATACTGGCACACTTATTTTTACACCATATTATCCAGCACAGTTTATAACTGCTTTGTGACTGGCACTAGTGCACAGATTAAAGGAATTTCAAGATATATCCGTATTTCTAGATAGAAGTAGGGATACAGATATTTATCTCACAAGAGAGATGGCTCCCTGGCCTTTAAGCTAAGCAAAGCAAACCTGTACTGTAGTGGAAAAGTAAACCAAAGGACCTGACAATTGTTTTGAACACTTGCTAAATATTAAAGCACTCTTGTGATTAAACAAAGCAGAAGTGAGGAAAGAAGACAAGATTGTGTTTGCGCAAAAAAAACCCTATAACTACAATTAGTTCCAAAATTATGTATACATGTTAATGTTGTTAACTATTTTATTACCAAACTTTAATTGCTGTCTTCAGTTTTTTTCTCTCAACACATATATATTTTAAAATTTCTCTTTATGGTATATTTGTTTTTTAAGATGTCTCAGCTATTCGGAACCTGAGGTTGATTTGCTTTGAGGCTTCGTAGAGCTCTTCTTGCTGCTGCTGATTTGGCAATCCGATAGCTTCTTCCAACACCTTTGAATTTTCCCTTTCCTACAACTTCCACTGTTACTCTAACCTTTCCATCATAAGTTCTTTCGGCAGGACTACATGAATATAAAAAATTAGAACAAAAACAAAAAATCAAATTACAATGAAAATAGTAAACATAAAATTAATTCCAAAGAAAAGCAATAGTAACCCTTCAGTATCATTAAATATTCCCTTGAATTGAGCTCAACTCCTGGTAAATACAGACATATTCATGCAGTCTTCTTGATAATAATGTGACATTGGTTTGGAGTTGCTATACTTCCACAAGACACCAAAGTCTATGCCCCCCCCGCCCGTGAATTCTGTTCTCTTATCTAGCACCAATTTGCCTTGACCATTAGTAGATCAGAGCCTTGTGTATAGGTGACATGTAATAAATTTTAGTGCTTTGAACTCAACTTTTGTTCCTGGTTACTTGCACATGACAATAACCAAGTATAATCATGGACGTTATATGTAATTGTACATAGTTATACAAATAAACTAGTATTTGAAACAGGAAAAAAGAACTCATGTTTACCTACTTTTGAATGAAATCAATTTATACTTAGAAAGATAGAACTAGAGAGTTGGAAGGGTTCTTGGAGGTCAAAGAGTCTAAATCCTGTCCAGGGCAGGAATCCTCAGATCATGCCAAATAAATAGCTATCAAAATTTTACTGCTATATGTCTCCCTTTAACTTTAAATTAACTTTAGGCTAAACATAACCAGTTCATTTAACTATTGTTCACAAGATTTAGCCTCCAAATCCTTCACCATCTGTGTTTCTATTTTCTGCACCTTTCAGGTCTTTAGCATCTTTCTTTTATTGTGGCAACCAAAACTAGACAAGAGTATTCCAGGTCCAGGCTGGCTAATACAGCATATAGTAGAATTATCATTTCCTGTGATCTTGACATTATACTTCTGTTGATACAACCAAAGATCGCATTGGCTGTTTTAGCAGCTGCAGCATACTGCTGGCCCATCTTTAATCTGCAGTTTATAGCAGACCCAGATCTTTCTCACAAGTACTGCTGAACTAAAAAAAACCTTATGTTGTACTAAAGCATGTAGCTTTTCCTGTCTAAGGGTAGAACCTTACATTTCTCACCACTAAACTGTATTTTGTTGGCTAGGTCCCAATGTTCAAGTCTGTTAAGATCTTTCTGAACCTTCAGCCTATCTTCTGTTAATAACCCCCTTCCCCAACTTTGTGTCATCTGAAATTTGATGAGGGTACCTTTTTCATCACTTACATTTTTTTCCATATTATCTTATGAACTGTACCCTTTGACATTTGTGCCATTAAAATTATTACAAAGTCAGAATAAAATTATTATATGGGTTTATATAGATATGTAAGATATGAATTCTTACCTAAATTTGGCTGTCTCTGGCTCCATTTCCAACAGCTCTCTTACTGGTGAACGGGGCACATTTGCAGAGAATTTTTCTATGATTAAAAATATATAGAAATTTGTAATCCTCCTAATCGAAACAATACACGGAACCTTTTTTTCTGAAAACAATTATATTACCTATTAATGGCCTCATCATTGGATAGTACACTTGCCAAACCATTTCCAGAGACATTTCACTATCCATGTAAATTGCACCAGCAAGGGATTCAAATATATCTCCCATAGCCTTTGGTACTTCTATATCTTCTTCTTTTTCTTCATCTTCTTCAGATCTTCGGAGCTAAAAGTCATCAAAAAGAGTTCCCCAATAAAAACCATTGCAAAGTTTATGTTAAAAATACAACCGTATTGTATCCTAGTTTGTTTAATTGTGAGTTCTGTGGGAAGAAGAGTTTTGGCAGTGGCACTATTAGCATAATCACTAAGAAGTTGCTAGGTGGGATACAACAGATAGGAAGCACAGCAGTGGGGAAGGGAAGCAAATTTTTTAGCAAATTTGCCTTCTTCCCATGGGTAGAATCCAATCAGAGTTGTTCTTCTCCTTATAATGAAAGAGCATCTCAATTTTCTGCTGCCTAGGAAAGTGAAATTCCTACTTTTTTTTTTTTTTTTTTTTACAAGGGAAGGGTTATTTGTATGCATATGCATACATCTGAGAGATTACCTGTTTTTCTGATTTGTGGGTTTGTGTATGTATGATTTATTTGAATACATATTCATGTAATTTGTAAATATATATTACAAATGACACCTTTGAACTACAGAAGGCTGCCTACTCCATTTTTGCTATTTTTCATGTCCTATGCATGAATCCATATATTTTAAATGATACTCAACATAAAAATTACTAGCGTTTTTGCTACTAACCTCAGAATCCATTCCTTGCATTTCATTCTTTTCCATTTGGAACTGTACAAAATCATCAATAACATGAAACAGCTCAGGAGAAACAGCTTTGAAATATTTGTGGTAGTCGTATTTTACAGCCAGTGAGGCAAAAATGGTGTTGTTAACGAGAGCTGATCTCAGGTCTGTTAGGACCCCTGGTGAGTGCTGTCGTGGGTCTTCGTAAAGGTGCTTAGTTATGAGGTAGTCCAAAATTGCATCTCCCAGAAATTCTAACCGCTGGTAACAATCTTGATAAATAAGGATTGAGAGATTGGAGAGAAATATAAAATGATACAATACAGTTAAGATCTCTTCCAAATGATTTACATTCCATCTAGTACACAAGCTTAGAGAAAAGGAAATATTTTATGTGACTCACCAGTAATGGTGTTGTAATGATACGAGGCATGAGTAAATGCCTGAAGTAGATAAGCCTTGTTCTTAAAACTGTAGTTAATCTTTTTCTCAAAGTTTTCAAAGCCTGATATAAGGTGATTTAAGGTTGTCTCAGCATCTGGATGATCAAACATACATCTTGGAGGAATCTTTAAACAGCCATATACCAAGTCTTTATAGTGAGAAGTTTCTTGATTAGCTAAAGTGGCAGAAATGCAGTTTACTGAAGAATGCTTCTGTTGGTTATTAAAATGGTCTCTGTAAGAGCAAAGAACATTGTCCCACTCAGTTTTTTTAATAACTGGAAGCACTTTCAGACCCAATGAACACAGGAAAAGCTGGGCAGCTCTTTCCCCACAGCTGGTCAGATAACATCCCAAAAGGGCTTCTACACAGTCTGCAATGCTTTTGTCAGCAATGCACTGCTCTGTATGCAAATCATATGAGATAGATTGTTTTCCAGCATCAATACCACAGTTTTCTTCTGATGGATTCCAGAAACCTACAACAAAATCATCCTCTTCAACAGCTTTGCTAGGATCTAAGTAGCACATTGCATCCCATGAACTATAGTCAAAATCATCAAAATCTGATGAAAATTGAACATTAGTCAAAGATGATTTTTTGGGTGCTTTCCATTCATAACTGCTATCAGCAGGTGAAAATGGAGACAGTGATATTTTCTTCACAAATGCTCCAGAACCCATTAACATATTGTCAATAAATTTGATATGCTCCTGATCATATTCCAAAAAGTCATCTTCAAACTCAGTTTCTTCCTTGGGTACTCGCCACATTAAATCATCGTCGTCATCATCATCATAATCGTGTTTTCCATTAGACAGTAAGCCCTCTTTTGTCTAATAGTAGAAAAGAAATAAAAGTTCATGTTAAAAATTTTGCAATAATTTTGTAACTTCATGTAAAATAGCTGTAGATAAAATTTAAACACATTAAATGTTGTCAATCAATAGAAATATTCTTGGGCAGTGGTTCTGATTCCTCCTAGAAGGTAGATCTTGGAACAAACATTTCTCCCATATAGTCTTTGATGCATGGTTTACTGTTAAGTTCCATAATTTCATCCATGCTTTTAATATCTAAATAAATCTACTGGTAAAATAATCTGGGTATTATGATTTGGGAATCATTAGGATATAGACAACACTTATTTTTGTCTCATTTCTAATGCCCAACTTTGGAGAAGAAATAAAAACTCTAAACTGATGACAACTTTAGCTGGATGAAGATAAAGACTAGACTAATTCAGAAAAAAAGTACTATATATCAAAAGGTCTAATTATCGAACTGGACTTGTAAGTTATTTACACTCCTTAAATTCTAAGCTGGCAACACTTTCAGACACCATCACAAGATCCCAGAAGGAGATGTGGGTACAAAATAAATAAATAAAAATGGTTAAAATTATTTGAGATTTCTATCATCTCATGCAAAAATACGTTTCATCAGATTTTGGTAATTCAAATGTTTTAAGAGTTAGTTAAGTAGTTTCAGTATGCTTTAATATCTACAGACACAAAAAGAGCAAGAGTTTATATGTTTTAGCCTCCAGTCCCCTAATCATCTTTGTTGCTCTTCTCTGCACTCTTTCTAGAGTCTCAACATCTTTTTTAGATTGTGGTGACCAAAACTGGATGCAGTAATTCAAGTGTGACCTTACCAAGGTGTTATAAAGTGGTATTAACACTTCAGGTTTTTGCTCGGCTATATTTTTCATTCTATGACTGATGCCTAACAGAAATTGAAATTACCTCCAAAAGAAACCAACTGCCATGTTGGTTTCTTTTCTGTATTCCCTCTCCCCCCACAATAAAGGTAACTTTGTATATCATCCAAGATAAAAAAGGAGGAATTCAAATACAGGATATAACATACATTTTTCTTTTCCTAACTAGCTTTGAAAAGACTTAGCTTGCAATCCAGTACTACCTTGTACCAGATAAGACCTTATCTGCTCAGCTGGAGGCTCTATCGATGCATCTATGAATAGAACTCTGTACCTACAGTACTCCACTGTCATTTTCCAACCACAATTTTATGCAATGAAAACTTCTGAGAAAGCTGAAAACTTACAACTGTTAAAAAAACTTCAGCTAGTTACCACTATGAATTTGTGACTTTAGATTTTATATCCCTCTAAAATAAAGTACAACAATCATGACAAAGCAATCATTGATTTGTCTAATTCTCTTTTAATGCCATGCATAGTCTGGGGAAACATTTATTTTATACAACTGCAAATCTTCTATGATTCAACTTAATTGGAATTTTTGGACTCCAGACTAATACAAATGAAGTCCTTTTTATTTTAACTAAAAAACCTTGAATACAACCTCACAGAAGAAATGATTAATATTTTTGATTATCTTTATTCACCTTTTTCAGGTCTACAGTATCAATGATGTGGTCTGGTAACTAGAATATTCACAACAGAGATTGTCTAGAAATGTTGAAGAATCAGGAGTGTGATTTTCTACTCCTTCCAAAATTATTACCAAAAACCTTGCCATATGCTAAATACAATAAATAACCAGAAACCTAAAAGTACATGATTTCACACATTTACATTGTTCATATTAAGGCACTTACTCGGTTTAAAGAGTTCTGGACTTCTTTACTTTTTAGTCAACTTAAATAATTAGGCATGAGAAACTTTGTCTTTTAAGTTCATTTAACATTAATTACTTTTTTTTTTTAATGGTCACATTATAGATTTTGGGGTATTCTGCTGCTTTCAAAATTTAACCACTTCCCATTTTTGTATATATTTAAGCAATACTTTAAATATTTTATGGTACAATAATATTACATTGTAATATTTTCATTGTGCCCTCTGGTGGTTTTATAGTCAAAGTATGAATCTCATAAAATGGATAAAGACAAAACAAATCTTTCTAATCAATCTCATCTCTTTGTAAGTGGACCAATACCAATTATAAACCTAAAAGACCACTGTGGACTTCTGTTATATTATTGCATATAAATTCAAGGGAAAAGTAAGTGCATTTGGTTTTATTCCACCCAGAAGTTTGACAATAAAGCATTTTGGCAAACAATATTCTTTACTATACCGTAAAGTAATTCATAGTAATATAAGAATCCAGAACTTGGTCTAAAATAATCTNAATACCAATTATAAACCTAAAAGACCACTGTGGACTTCTGTTATATTATTGCATATAAATTCAAGGGAAAAGTAAGTGCATTTGGTTTTATTCCACCCAGAAGTTTGACAATAAAGCATTTTGGCAAACAATATTCTTTACTATACCGTAAAGTAATTCATAGTAATATAAGAATCCAGAACTTGGTCTAAAATAATCTGCATTGAAGAGCTATAAATAAGCATTTTAAGATTCCATTACATTTATTTTTGCAACAAATATTCTGATAAAGCAGGGCAAATATTAGTTCAAAGTTGTGATTTCAGGAATTCAGATTCTATAAAATAACCTGTGGTTAAACAGTAAATTATCAGAAAACTTTGTCAAGATCTGGTTCTATTCTGAAATAGTAAAAACAGAATCCTTATTACAATAACACTGAAATACTGTAAACTCGGAAATTTGGGACTGGATATTGAAGAACTCTAGGGCTAAAAGGACATCTGATTCCAATATTATCAAATCTATTAATTTTCCTTGCTATGCATTTGGATGTCCCATAACAAAGGAAATACTGCATGTAAAATTTGCATGAATACAGAATGAAATAGATCTCTAAGAAAAAGCATTTTGTCACAAAACAAAAGAAAAAGATACTGAGAAGAGCTAAAAATTAGTGTGATAAAAGCCAAACAGTATTTTTTATGCTAACTCTGACCCTTGTTTCTTGGGACACTTTATCAGTGAAACTGAAGAGCCAGGAAAGATAAAATAAGGAGTCATAAATTCCTTTTTACATGTTTATACAGACAGACTGATAGACACAAAAATTGTTATATGGCAGTGCACTGATATCGAGAATATGATTTTTATATGTATAAATCCATCTTGGAAATGACTGAATGAAAACACATACACAAAATAAAATAATGATTAAGAAGTCTGACATAATTCAGAAGATAAGATATTACTTTAGGTTATCTGCTCGTAAATATATTTGAAACATTATAGATGAACAATTAAATATAATGGTTAGGAAAAAAATAAACTATGCTGAAGATATTTAAGCTATTTGAAATGAACTGCTCAGATTCTTTTAATTTGCATATGGTTCAGACAGACCTATGTGTGTTTTTCCTTCAGGCACTGATAAAACAAATTTGATTGTGTGAATATTGTGCCATGTTAAACTAGCTCTGCAATATTGGATACTATTTTGTTCTATAGCCTGTAGTATTTCTTTGAAATATACTTTTATTCATTTACAACCCTAAAAACAGTTTATGTCCTCAAGGAAGTTTGTATTTAACACAGAATGAAATAAACAAAATCTGGGGATGTAAATAATTTTTTTATAATGTTTTTTGAGATTATACATTCACTAAACATTACTTATCATAATTTATCTATAAGATGGGGTGGATAGGGAGGAGATAAAGTTCCAGGATTGGTTTCAGCTATAATTGGCAAGTTTAAAAGATGAAGAACTTAGGCGCTGTCTTGTTTACAGGATTTTTCTAAATGGAGCCTTATCTTAGAATAAGATTCATATTCTTTCAGGTAAATAAGGTTTTAACACATTATTATAATTCTTGCATAAAACAAATATTTGAAAATACTAATATGCATTCAAGTTGAGTTATTTCTGAAGAGAATATTTGCATTTTCATATAGTGTCACAGAGAAATTAGTGGTCTTGAGAAGAGGGGGCTCTTAATTGCTATTTTGTGTCTGATTTCAACTCTTCTTCAAAAAGAGAACCGCATTATGACTTTCACTAAAAATTAAATAGGTGCAGTTTACACACCTTTAATACTGAATTATTCATTCCTTTACGCTTACAGGTAGAGAGGGAGGAAAAACCTTATCTTTTCAAAACAAGGCAAAGGAATTTTTTCCCCCACAAGTATTTTTGCTTATTTCCATTTTATTATTTAATATATTTTTTTTCAGAAGTCTTCCAATATAATGTTTCATCCTACTTTTACTACAGAGGCTGTTTTAAGAGAAATAAAAAAGTAATAGGCAATATTTTATGGAAAACTGATTATGTCAAGGCCTTCGTGTTTCGCTCACAATGACACATTTGTAACCGAGACATGTAATATTTCAAAAGACTCACCATTTCATCTTTTCCCCATTTGTCTGCATTACTCTTGTCTTGGTTTACTATGTAACCAGGAGGAAGCCAATTCACAGGAGGATCAAATATAGACACTACCATGCGACTAGGAAGCCCTTTCTTTTTTCCAAGACGATACAGGTTACAATTGCTGACCTTTAAGGGAAAAAAAGTTTATTATAAACAAAATATTCAAAAATTCAAAACATGTACTGTATTTACAGGGTAGATAGTGAAATCTGCCTCTATTACATTTATAACTTTTGGAAACATAGCTGAAATCCATCAGATAAGCTCAGTATAGGCAGCCTTCACTTAGGAGCCCTAATTAGGACTGGAATTTCTGTGGCTAAGTGAAGCAATTGTTAGATGAAACATCACATGACCTCAACACTTAGCAACAGTAGTTCTGGTAGTCTCAATTGCAGTTGTTAGAACCACACCATCATTAGGTAAGGACCACGTGCTTCTCTTGCTGTGTAAACTCCCAGCTTTGTCCAGCTGCCTCCTCCTCCCCAACTGGGTCCAGCAAGTTCCCTCCAGCATATGAGGCTCTGCCATCCTTCTATGCTTACCTCTACTTCAATTCCCCCCACCCACCGATCTTCCCAACTCTGCCCTTTTGGCCAATCCTGCCACTGCAGCCTACGCTGCTGATCTTCACCATCAGCATCTTCTTCCTCCTGCTGCTGATGAGGCATACCTGGCTGATACAGGTGCTAGTCATTCGAAATGCCTTCACATGGTCTTGCAAAGCTTTATGCCTCTTTAAATGTCTCACAACACCTCTGTGACACCTGCCTGAGTCTGTGTGCGCCTCATTAGGAGTGGGAGGCAGAAGAGGACGAGAGTCAACTGAGGCGGCAGGAGTGGCAGACTGCAGGGTGATTTAAGGGGCAGAGACTGGGGGAGATAGGTAGGTGGGAGGAATTGGACTGCACACTGAAGTTGTACATACTGGCAGGCTGCCAAGCATCCGAATTTTGATCATGTGACCAAGGGGGCACTGCAACAGATGTAACTTCATGGATCAGTTGTAACTACCATTTATTTAGCACCACCATAGCTTTGTTGTAACTTTGGTCATTGAACTAATGATCATCAAGTGAGGACTACCTGTAAATTATAATACCGTTGTTTCTAAAGTGACAAAAAGGTAAATAAAGTTGCTCTTCAGTTACCTCAAATTACTTCTGCAAGCACATACAGCGCACAGACAAAAGTCAACATCGGTAATCCTCACATGCTGATCACAGTTGGGATTGGCAACTCCATCACTAAGCAATGTGGGCATTAAGTGAAACTTCACATGATTGTGCTAGAATTATATACCATGCCTACTGTGATTATTAAACAAACCACTATAGTTTGTTAAGTGCAACATCATGTGACTGTGACTTGAAACTTCCTGCCAGCTTTCCCATTGACACTGATTGTCAGAAGCAGCTGTGAAGATCGCAGATGACGATCCCATGACAGTAAGATGTTGTGACTAGCACAATGCATGCTGGTTACTAAGCAACCGAATCACAATCATGCAATCAAAGAACACTGTAATGGTCACAAGTTCGAGGACTGGTTGTTAAGTCTATTTTTTCAGCACTGTTGTAACTTTCAGTGGTCAATGAACAAGGCAGCTGATAGTACATACTCCAACACTGTTACATGTCACTGGATTTGCTGGTTTGTACACAAACCCAAACTCACAAGAGTTGAAAATCACGGACACACTACTCACTTTTTTGCTTCTCATATATGACAGGCGTCCCTCATGAGCATCAGGGTAAGTGCAAAACAAGTATGTAGTGATGGCATGTTTTAAAAATGAATCACCAAGCATTTCAAGCCGTTCCAGATTAAATCCATCACTAGCATTTGAAAGAGTCAATGCCTGAAGAATGAGACCAGGGTTTGGGCCAAGGGTTTTTGAGGAATAACCACCGGAAGAGCTTGTTACAGAATCCATGCTTTCTTCTGAAGGCTTGCAACCTTCTGAAGCACTGGTGGTCATTGCCATTTTGGAACAATCATCTGAGGTAGATCTGTTAGCATTTCCATCAAGATATTTATTACTCAGAGTACATTCATTGCTGAACTTGAGCTGGTTCTCATTGTTATATAAATTTTGTTTAGGATACGAGGTAGTTGATTGTACAGGTATTTCTTGCCTGCAGTAATTTAGCTGATTTTCTTGGCAAACGTCTCTGTTAGGTATGTCACAATTGCCATTGGCAAGTTTTTTATTGTAAGAAACACCATTAGTTGTTGCCAGTTCTACTGAGACATCCTTTTGGAGTTTGCTAGGTGACTCTATCAATGCTCTGTAGTTCACAGACATTTGGTCATGCTTATCTGTGGAGGAGGTTTTAATAGCACCTTGATGTGCAGCATTTTCAGGGACTATAATTGCACTGTGCTTACAATAATTTTCATTCTCTTCTAGAGAGGAATTAGAAGCAGAGATGAAGGATTTGCTGTCAATAGATTTTTTCCATCCAAAGTCCAGGTTAGGGTATCTGAAAAATAAATTATGTAATTAAATTGATACAAGAAGGCTTAGTCTATAATGCTGATACTTGATTTTCAATATATCCCTCTCCAATGACACTATAACTATATTGCTTTGCAAACTGCTTTTAGACCTCATAAAATCCAAATCAATTAACAACCGTTTGATAAAATTAAAAGATGGGAGTCCTGCTATTCACTGAATTCTGGATGTTGTCTATAATATTAGCAGCAACTATAAACTTGAGAACAAAATTGACTGATTTCAAAAAGTAATAAACAAGGAAGATTCTAGCATTGTTCTGGAAAATTTATTTAAGTATAATTTTAAAATCTCAAAGGTGCTTTTTCACGAGGCAACTGGATTTTCTTTGAAGACATTTCGCTTCTCATCCAAGAAGCTTCTTCAGCTCTGACTCCCCACTATCTAGTCAGAGCTGAAGAAGCTTCTTGGATGAGAAGTGAAATGTGTTCAAAGAAAAACAAGAAAGTCCAGTTGCCTTGTGAAAAAGCACCTTTGGCATAACTATGACCTGGATGACTGAGAATCTCCATAGATATAATTTTAAAAGTTAGTACTCTGAAATGTTACCTATTTTCTCATCCAATTTAACATGGGCAAGTAAATCATTAGATTTCATTTTAGATCTTGGAAAATATACTAGTAAAATGTAAACATCTCTTTTCTGTAAGCTGAAAAACACAAAGTTCTGATGAGGCATTTATGGATCCATTGAGAAACTATTTGAAAACATGTTAAACTGGCCTAGGTCCAGACTAGTGTTCCTACATAGTTAAAGTATAATATATTTAATACCTGAAATCTATAGGAAGTGACTTAACTCCTACACCAGCATCAATAGCTGTTTGAGATCTGAGTTCCTCGGCTGTCAAAAGGCAGTGAAGACGATAAAGGATGCTAGGGAGACAAACTGCTTTTCTCCACAGTGATGCTGGAATAGGATGTATAGCACAGAGTTCAGGAACTAGGATCTTTAATAGAAAACAAGACAAAACTTCATTTTAAAATCTTACAAATTTTAGAGTAGCAAGATGCTACTGAGCCCTCTAAAATAGAAAATATACTAATTACCTGCTTATTTTGCAGACTTTCCCACTTGGCTTTCCGTTTCTCTGCACTGCTTAATGGAAGAGCTTTCCCCTTCTGATTCAAATGCCGAGGCGTCAAAAGATTAAGTCTAGAACAAAATGAACAGGCATCTCTAAAAGGCTTACTATAATAATTCAAATTCCGTTTTGAAAGATGGAAATAAGAAAAAAAAGTTTTAAGATTTAATAGTAGGGATGTGATTTGTCCCTTATAGACATTTTTGCTTCTTTTGAAATTTGTTCATGTTTATCATAAGCTAAAAAAATCTAGCCATATAATTGATTAATTCTTTCTTTTTCTGAGTCACTTATTTGCACATCAATCCTACCGAGGAGATGAGAAAAAGTAAATAGAAGAACCATCTTATTTAGGTAGGGAAACCTTATTGCAGCCTCCTTTGATTTTACCCACCTTTAATTTTATTTTAATATTTTCTGCTTATTGTGCTCCCCAAAAAAGACAGTATAAACATGTTTCTGTTTAGAAACTATGAAGGAAGGGGAGAACAGCCCCTCCCCAATAAACTTTCTGTTTTTCATCTTCTCTGATAGAATAGGTTTGATATAAGAACAACCTATAATTGTTCCATGATGTAGAGGTAAAAGGTCTTTGGGAGAAGGAATCTCTCTTTCTCTCTCTTCACTTATAGAGCAGATCTGAAAAATCCTCAAGAAAATGCATTGGTCCAGGATTGTCCCCTGAACACATTCTTTTTTTTTAAAAAAAAAGTAACATTAAATGTGTCTAAAATCACCATATATATGGAAACTTGATGCCATATGTTTATAAATCACAAGGAAAAAATATGTAAATTCTGATAGCTGACTTTACCTTGAAGATGTGTGGTCCACATCCAGCAATGGCTGGTTGAGATTGGTCAGGTCAAGGTTGTACTTTGTTTTATAATATTCAGCAAATGTTTCATATTCTGGTGAAGGAAATTTGCTCAGTGGTGTAAGATCTGTGTACACATCAGCAACATAGAATCGATGAGGCTGGTCAAAATTTCGATACCTGGATAGAAACAGATATTTAGATGCCAATATCAAACACTGTGCCAAATAAATTTTCTACCATTTCCAGATGTTGGATTTAATTACAAACCAGTCTGAAATAAAATATAATTTAATTCTATTTTCAAAATAATTACTGATCAAAAACAATGAGCTACATATCCCAGTAAGATTTTCCACAAGATGTTGATATTCCAGATATCAAAATACTATACAAATCCCCTTCCCTTCAATAGGTAAATATATTCTTTAGAACAAAATTAACTGAACGGTTATTTTGAACTTGGCTAGTGCACCTTTACTGAAATGAGGAGGAAAATTTTCCAAGGAAAAAGCAAGCATTCTAGATTTAAGCAGGTAAATGTAAAACAATACATTTTATTACTATTCCATTTTTAATTCATAAATTCCATAGTTTTTACAAGTTATGCTTAAAATATTTCATGTTTTATTATATTTGTTTCCATTACAGTTTCATATTTATTATTAACACAGCTGTAAACAAATTTCATTGCTGTGTCAAAAATTCTGAAGAATATTTTGTATTTATCTGTGATCAAATTTCTTTTCCCTTTTATTAACGCCACATCCAGTATTAGGAAGCTTAATGGGTAGCTGTATGCAAAGTATTTTCATTTTCAATTATCTCAAGTTTGAAATGTTCTCATCTTAAAACAACTCTCTTCTGAGTTTGAAACAAGATATTTCCATTTTAAGCATGAATTAGTTTCGTTTGAAACATTTTGCGTATCACTCCTGATGGGCACTTCTTCACACTACTAGGATGAACAAAAGTGTTCTAATACTGTATTACTTGGGATCGCTTTTTCTTTTTACTTTGCCATTTAATCTTTTCAAGAAATCTAGAATACAACTCCTTTAAGTCAGACTTGATCACTATAGGATATTCTAATGTTTGCATTAAACTGTTAAAACCTGAAAAAATACTACTTTTAAATATATAGAGATGTTTGTTTTAATTTTCAAAAAAATACTCACCTTGGAATGATAACTGCATCCTGATAATCCTCTAATTTAAAAATGAATGGTGTTTCTTTTGTATATTGTGTACTGGGAATGCCAGTACGAGCTTCCGATTTCTCAATATTTTCCATAAATTTAAAATCAATGTCCAAAGTGCTGGAGCCATCAACTTAAAAACAAAAGATTTTATTTAAATTTCAAAACTAAAAATATTTTCAGATTCTTAGCACATATTTTAAATGGTAGATAACTTCCAAGAATTTTTGTCAAAATCAATTTCATAATATTACAGGGCTTTTGGTGGTAATCAATATTTCAAAAGAACAGAAGTCAACCTGAAATACTGTTCTAAGGTCTAATGTTTATATACTATAGTTACTTCTCAAACGTCTGCTTTTACAAGTAATATTCAAAATCTGAAAAAACTAAAAGACACAATCCCTTTATTTGTTAATTTTTTATGGTTGTGTTGCAAATCAGTTTTATTTTCTGCAAAATGCTTGTTGAAGGATGTTAAACAATGTGAAGGATATTAAATAATTCCTGTACACGTGGGAAGAATTTGTGTATACAAATGGCCACTTAAATATGCCATCAACTGTATGTAACTTTAATTAATAAATAAAACAGCACTCTTCTCACCAACATTAAGAGGTAGAACACAATAGGCTGAATCAGCATCAGTGGGTCTGAATTCTAGTGCAGGTTTTTCAAGTCGAAGAATGTGAGAGAATATATATTGGTGAAGTCGTGTGATTAACTCAAGCATTTGTAACGACAAAGTGAAACTTGATTTCTTTAACTCAATAGATATGGTCACTTCTCCTGAGCGGGTATATACAGGAAAATGAGGAATCTAGATAAACAAACAAACAAACCAAAGTAAATATAAGATGATTACAAGAAAGCATTGGCTAAAATTTGTGTCCCTTGTTAATAACCAATCTACATCTAATATTCAAACTAGCATAAAGGTGTATATCTTTTTAGGCATTCAATTCTAGATTGCACACACACAAATAAACCCATGTTAATGTCAGGTTAAAACTGAAAACTGTCAGGAAAATGTAATAGATTCATCCAAGAACCACAAATGGTAGCCACACAGGAGCTAATATTATAATTCAAATATTTATGCAAATACAAGTTCATGTGAGTTTTTATACAGTTTTCTTGTAAGAATATATATCACAATTTCTTAAATACTATCTTTATATTTTTGCTTTTCTTGTGCAATGTTATTATTTATAAGATGCTATCTTAGAAAGGCACTTGCTGATGCAAACCAGGATTAAGGAGAATATGTGGTTTGTACATACAGTAACTAAGCATAAATATGTATTAGTATTATTTATAGTCCATTCCAATTCTAATCTATCCTGGGAGGGAATATAAGGAAAACAATGTAAAAACCAAAGAAGCCATCAATTTTATAATCATAGGTGCCCAAATAAACTAAGGGTTGAAAGCATGCTAAAAAAAAGTATCGCTTTTTCAGTATTTAGTATTATTTCAGTATTGCCGAAATAAAAGAAATGCTGGTGTCACATAAACCTCCTGGGCAAGAGAACTCCCTATTAAAGTTTAATGAGAATGTTCGCCGCCAATCTTGTCACCCTATTTTTTTTACCAGCTGTAGTTTCTGGATGGTGTCCAAAGTTATACCCATACTTAAGAAATATGCTTGCTTTGGAAAATATGCAGGAAACAGAAAGAACATAATGCTCTCATACGTTAGTGTGGCTCAAAGTATTAATCTGGATTTAGTTTAATTCACGTATATGCATTGCTTAATAATATGTATCAATTATAGAAAAATAAGAAAGCATATGGTTTAGAAAGCCTGTCATAATATAAAAGCATTTTCTTCCTATGAGCAACTTCTTTTACCAGAGGCAATGTGTATAACTGTATTCTCTATTTCACAAGATTCCCATATAAATGGCGTCACTCTAAAATAGTGATGAAAAAGAAACAAGCAGCTAAGCTATTGATCTGGATCGTTTTATTATTACAATATTTCAAACATTGAAAAAAATGAATATCAGTCCTTTTAAAACAGTTAATTAGGTAACTCTGACAAGATAAGTAAGCATGTTCCATAAATATGGAGTTCTACTGTAATACACTGGCTTGAACACCTTGAAGCAAATTTTAAAAAAAGAGAAATGCATGTACTTGTGTGCATTTAACTACCTGAGGTATAGGTTTGGCTGTCAGTATTCCAAAACATCTTGTAGTATCTTCGGGAGGATATAGCTTTCGTCTTCTAAAGTTGAGCTCATCAGGTAGAGGAGTAGTTAAGACCATACCAATTACATAAAGGTAACAGGGTTGATCAGGTTTGGGATAACTGTCCCTCAAACATTCTGGAATCTATAGACAATAGTGTAACAAGCATGTTTTTTTAAATAAAAATTGTCCTTAGTGATGCATAGAAACAATACAGGTTTAAAATAAATTATCCTTGCATATCTATATATATTTCTATCTATCTATCTAGATATATCTATCTCTATATCTCACATGATAGATAGATAGAATTTAAAAAAAAAATTGAATGCAGGATTAAATTACAAATTGTCAGTGATTAATTGATTTATATAACTAGCAGCTAAAAAGTTGATGCATGATTTCTGCATTGTGAAACCATTTGAAAGCAGTTTCTACCACAAAGACAATAAATAAAACTAAAGAGTCAAATGGAATGAAGCAAGAACCTTGTAAAAGAGGCTCCAGTCTGGAAAATAATAATATTCAGTAATTTAGTGAATCTTTGCAAGGATTCTATTTAAGCTATTTTGGACAAAAAGGTAACTTTTAATTAAAATTCTTGTAATTGACAGTTTCAGTCCTGGTTTCTTCAGTTAAGGCTAAGAAAGGCCTTTTGCTTGAAATCTGCATTATTGCTGTCACAATGCTGGGTAGACCAAGAATCTAATATGTTATGGTATAACTTCCTCCTAATTAAAAGTAGCTTCAAATTTGGCAATGAGATTTTACAAATAAGAAATGTCATTAGCTGACTTTTCCCGTTTGTTTGCAACACTTCAAAATCCAAAAAACGTATTTACTTTACTTTGTGCCTCTCTTGGATTACACTGTGTTCTTTTCATTACCCTAGAATAAAATGTGAATGTTTCCCCTGAATAGTTTATCATACTAGGGATGGGCAGCAATCTAGATTCAAAGGGACATAAACTCCGACTCAAAGAGGATGTTCAGATAGCACTATTTGGCAACTCTTTAAATATGATGTCTTTTCTTCTTGGCTTGTGGAGCTGACCACCCAAGCTTTTTCTAATCCTAAAACAAATGTATTTGATTTAAATTGCTACTAAGAAGTGCTATTTGTTCAAACACAAATTGCTATTCTACAATTTCTCTTTAACCACATCATATCCAAAGCTGCGGCTATAATGTGGCTGCAATATTGGACTTCAGTATAGCAATGGATGATTAAACACTGATTCTGTGTCCTATTTTTCATCCAAAGACACAAAAAATAGCACACAGTATTCATATTCATCAGTAGTCATATGACACCAAAGATAATGCTTCATCTCAGGCTAGAAAAAAATTAAACACTTTATTATGTTTCCACTGTAATTTATGTATAAATGAGAAATTAAATAATGAAATGAAAATCATGTGGGTGTGAAATGGAAAAACGTATCTTTTTGTGCATCCAAATTTCTTGTTTACGCATTTCCTTTTGGTCTCACTTATCACATATAAGAAATCTTATTCTACTCTTGTTATTGTGGTGCAGAAGTCCTCAACAGAAATATTTTTTTCATTATTACAAGATTCTCTGATTAGCACAAATGCTAAAGAACCAGTATACTCCTGCTATTCAAGTCAGAAAAATCTTAAACAAAACCATACAACTATACTCACAGCTTTAGGGTAGCACTGCCTTCGTTTTGTAGAACCTGGCCTTCCTGGAACACTGGTTTCTTCTTCATCATGCAAATCAAGTTCCTCCTCATATTTTACTGTTTCTTTTCCAACAGGCATCAAGTGATCATCCAGCTCACCTAAAATATAAAGAACAAATGATAAATCAAGTAATTCCATAATTACAAAAAAATGCTCATCCATAAAATAACTTTTATCCAGTCTTTTATAAAATGCATGTATAAAATCATCAGGGACTGTATCATTGAAGATCTAAATTTCCTCACCTGTTTTACACAAACATGGTACAATTTCAAAGGACACATAAAAGAATAAAAAATAATAATCTCTTCATTAAAATGGAGAGGATTAGTTACTGCAGCAGCAATTAAAGGAAACTGCCTGAGTTTAAATTAGTGAGGATCTTTTTTCATGATTCTTAGAACATTAAATGAGATATTATTCTTTACAAATCAGTATATAATGTTAAGAGTCTGAAAGTAGTCAATTCAGATTGATTTTATTCATATTTACTCTGAAACAACTCATTGAAATACTCAATGAACAATTTATCACCTATAACCATATATAGGATTATGTTCTTTCTAACATTTGAGAATGCTGATCAGGGTGCAAAACTGAGCATTCTAATAAGAAACCTGAGCTCCTCAAATAATTAGATATTACTAAGTTCCACAGTGGGATCTTAATAACATTAAGTATCATAAACAGAAGTTGCAGGAGAAGGCAATTGAGAAATGGGCAGGAACTTGACATCACAGCATTATGTTTTAACCAAGTGTTTCAGGGAATTTTTTTTTTTTTTTTTAAAAAAAGACTAGCTAAATTCCACAGAAAGGAGAAAGTTTAAGGATCTAGGGAAGTTTTTTTTTTCATTCTGGAAGCAAAGCTGTCTATTGTTCTCTCAGAATTACAGCGGTTGAGAATGGATTGAAATCTTTCAAAGTGATTTTGATGGAAGAAACAGAAGTCCTTTAAAAAGGAACAACTTTTTAAAATAATTGTACATCGAAGTTTACCTTCAGGCTTTATTTCAAGTATTTAACTCAATACAATTTTTATATTGTCTGGGATGAAAAGACAGAAGGAAGTGATTTTTTTTTCTTTTTGTCTTTTTGACAGCCAGTTTGGTCTAGTGGTTAAGAAACCAGGGGACTGTGAATTCTAGTCCTGTCTTAGGCATGAAAGCTAGCAGGGTGACTTTTGAACTAATCACTCTCTCTCAGCCAGTGATGTCAGGCCTGGGAGACAAATCAATCAGTCTCATATTTAATACAATTTTTGTATTGTATACGATGAAAAGAAAGAAGCAAATAATGGGAAAATAAACAAATAAATGTGGAGTTACATAGCCATATAGCCAGTTAAACAATTGGTGAGTGTCAAAAGTGAATCTATATGGAAAATACAGAATTAAGCTTAATGCCAATATTGTCAGTGCAGAAAAATACTAGATCTTCTTGATACTGCCAGGACCAAGATGCTAAGACGAAAGAGTGCTAAGAATTCAAGTAACTCAGCATACATAATACTAGATATAACTATGTACATGGATTTCCACCAGAGAAAAATACAAAGTGCAAAGGTTGGATATGAAAATGATGGTTAATAGAAAACTATAAAAGTGACTTTAAAGAAGACCAGAAGTAAAAACTAACACTGCCAGTTCCAAAAAAACCCCAAATAAACCCTAAAATGTCATTTTCAGTTATTTGTTTTCCTCTATAGGACCTTGTACCATTAAAAAAAACCACAATGAATGTCAAGACAGTATCAAATGTTCATTAAATAAATGATATTGCTTCTAAAAGTTATACTTACCAATTTTATGCAATTTTTCACAACAAATAAGAGCGACAACTCTTTCTGCTAATCTCGCACAACTCATTGGAGGACCCTGGAAATAAAATTTGAAGCAAGTCTTTTAAAATTTCCTATCAATAAGTAATAATCAAATTTATTGCTTTGTTTTTTTCATTTCATATTTTAGTTATTATTTGTTAGATTAATACCCTATCTTTCCCTCTGGAGCTCATGGTGAAATACACAGCATTTCTTTCTTCAAGTTCCCCCACTCCATAGCAACTCTGTGCACAGGCTCAAAGTGCACGTGGCTGGGGCAGACTTATACCTGGATATTCACCTCAACTAGTATGCTATACTGGCTCTCTAATAACGAAGAACTGTCATGCATAAAAAATATGTAACTGTTGTACAAGGGACAGGTTTAAGAACATAAAATAACATTTTAAAAACCATACAGCTCTACGTAGAACAGATGTTATTTATATATTCCAAATATATCCAATACTTCAGGTTATTACAAATGTCAAAACACATCACTATTTAGACTGAATATTTAATATGAAAGGAAAATAAATTATTTTTTCTACACTAAGATGCTTTCATATTGCTAATAAAAAATCATTAAGACTTAGCCCTAGAGTTTCTTATGACTTTTACACACAGTGCTTTGTCATTCAAGCTTTAATGACTGAGTCTATGGAGATGTCTGAGAATCTCCATATACATCAAGCTTTAATAGTTAGTTTAATTCAAATAGAGAGAGTAAACCTCCTTCTTTGCAACAGTATATATTTCAATGCCTCAAATGGCCTCAATTATACCCCATTTGATTGATCAACTTCCAGTTGAGACACCTGTGAATATTGTCATCATAGAAAATCCATGGACTAGCTACTTAGCACAGAGTAAACCTTTCATATATTAAGTTATGCACTAAGTTGCAAGCCATGTCACAGGGAAAACATTGCACACTCAAAATTTACTTAGTCTAAACCAGGGGTCCCCAACCCACTGGCCACTGGGCGGCGTGAGTGGCTGGCCAGAACGTGTGTGTGCGCACACAGCCCAAATCATGTGAGTGTCACAATGAGCATTTGTGGCCCCACAAAACCATCCCTTCTCCCCCCCCCCCGCTCCGAGCCGTCAACCCCAAAAGATTGGGGAACTCTTGTTTAAACAAACAAAATACTCACGACTATTGATGCTCGAAGAGGAGAATTGATAGGTAGATAAAGTGTTGCATAAAATGTGTTATCAAGAAGCTCTCTAGTTTTACACTTAGGAGCCAGATGAGTAAATGGATCACTTGGTAATCTAGCACAATACCTATTTGACACATTTTTTAAAAAAAACACACACACACATAAACATATCATTTTAAAAAGCAAATGACATTTTATGGCTAACATATTCACAGGTTAACAGAAATCAACAGGTAAATAGATGTCAATAGTTTGCAATTATTTCTAAGATTTCCATCCAGTTAAATAGTTTGATTTAAACATACTGTACAATTCTCCCAAGCAGACTGACAATAAAGACAACAAACAGGAGAATCTTGGAATGTTTCTAAGATTGAAATGGACACCTACTGGAAAATTTTATCTGTTAATTGAGTAATATCATATTCAACCAGAAAAGAATATGGCGTGTCCAATAAGGTCAGTTTTACTGAATATGCCCAGGACCCTCCTCAACCTAATATTCTGTTTCTCATAGTTGTCAAGCAGCTGCCTCTAAGTTGCTTGGAAGCAGAAGGCAGGCATACCCTTCTTCCAACATTGTTCCCTCTGAAATAGTAGTTGGTGGCATGCTCCTCACAACCTGGATGCAACAAATTCAATATCAATAGTCCTTCACATCTCAATGAACTTACTTAATCCCCTTTTAAAACCATCCAGTTTAGAGCCAACACATAAAGTATGAATTAATTATATCCTATATGATATAATTATGTATGTTTGTCCTGAATGATTGTCTTAAAATTATTTTCAATCAGCCATAGTAAATGTTTTTTGTATTTTGAGAAACGGAAGAAAAAAAAATCTGTCTAGTTTCCCCATGCCATGAATTGTTTTATGAAATGCCCAACATGTACCCAACATTGTTCCCAGCTAAATAATCCACTAGTCTACCTTTTATAATAAAAATGTTTCTTATAGATAGTCCTTGATTTATGAACATGCATTAATTATATTTTATTTTTTTCAATTAGTCATAAATGAACTATTTCTTTTTCATAGCTGGCATTCTTACTGTACTATCCACTATTATCCCAAGATTTAGCTAAGGACAATTCTGTGGAGTCCTTGGTGCTCCCTGAGCTTGGTTGTTTGCTTGCAGACATTTCATTACCCAACTGGGTAACATCATTAGTGCAGCATGGATGATGTTACCTACCAGTAATCATGTAATAAAATACCTACAAGCAAACGATCAAGATCAGAAAGAAATAAAGACCCCATATTGCAGAATTATTTGCATTAAAATTACATTGATATCTCTCTTCCATTTCATTCCCTCCCTATCCTCCAATATTAAATATATTTCAGAAAAAGTAATAATGAAACAATAAATGGATTTAGTTGCCTTATTTCTTGTGAGACATAAAATCCTTAAGTGTACAGTGAGGGGAAAAAATTACTTGATCCCCTGCTGTTTTTGTATGTTTGCCCACTGACAAAGAAATGATCAGTCTATAATTTTAATGGTAGATTTATTTTAACAGTGAGACAGAATAACAAGAATATCCAGAAAAACGCATTTCAAAAAAGTTATAAATTGATTTGCATTTTAATGAGTGAAATAAGTATTTGAGTCCTTTGCAAAACATAACTTGGTGGCAAAACCTTTGTTGGCAATTACAGAGGTCAAACGTTTCTTGTAGTTCACCACCAGGTTTGCACACATCTCAGGAGGGATTTTGTCCCACTCCTCTTTGCAGATCCTCTCCAAGTCATTAAGGTTTTGAGGCTGACATTTGGCAGCTCGAACCTTCAGCTCCCTTCACAGATTTTCTATAGGATTAAGGTCTGGAGACTGGCTAGGCCACTCCAGGACCTTAACGTGCTTCTTCTTGAGTCATTCCTTTGTTGCCTTGGCCATGTGTTTTGAGTCATTGCCATGCTGGAATACCCATCCAAGACCCATTTTCAATGCCCTGGCTGAGGGAAGGAGATTCTCACCCAAGATTTGATGGTACGTGGCCTTGTCCATTGTCCCTTTGATGCGGTGAAATTGTTCTGTCCCCTTAGCAGAAAAACACTCCCAAAACATGTTTCCACCTCCATGTTTGACGGTGCGGATGGTGTTCTTGGGGTCATAGGCAGCATTCCTCCTCCTCCAAACACGGTGAGTTGAGTTGGTGTCAAAGAGCTCGATTTTGGTCTCATCTGACTGCAACATTTTAACCCAGTTCTCCTCTGAATCATTCAGATGTTCATTGGCAAACTTCAAACGGGCCTGTACATGTGCTTTCTTGAGCAGGGGGGGCCTTGCAGACGCTGCAGGATTTAGTCCTTCACGGCATAACAATTGTTTTCTTGGTGACTATGGTCCCAGCTGCCTTGAGATCATTGACGAGATCCTTCCATGTAGTTCTGAGCTGATTCCTCACTGTTCTCATGATCATTGAAACTCCATGAGGTGAGATCTTGCATGGAGCCCCAGACCAGGGGAGATTGACAGTTATTTTGTGTTTCTTCCATTTGTGAATAATTGCACCAACTGTTGTCATCTTCTCACCAAGCCGCTTGGTGATAGTCTTGTAGCCCATTCCAGCCTTGTGTAGGTCTACAATCTTGTCCCTGACATCCTTGGACAACTCCTTGGCCATGGTGGAGATTTGGAATCTGACTGATTAATTGCTTCTGTGGACAGGTGTCTTTTATACAGGTAACAGGCTGAGATTAGGAGCACTCTCTTTAAGCTCGTTACCTCTATAAAAGACAACTGGGAGCCAGAAATCTTGCTGATTGATAGGTGATCAAATACTTATTTCACTCATTAAAATGCAAATCAATTTATAACTTTTTTGAAATGCGTTTTTCTGGATATTTTTGTTGTTATTCTGTCTCTCACTGTTAAAATAAACCTACCATTAAAATTATAGACTGATCATTTCTTTATCAGTGGGCAAACGTACAAAACCAGCAAGGGATCAAATAATTTTTCCCTCACTGTAACCATAATAGACAAATGCTTAAAACAGATACAGTTGCCAGCATTTAATTAAAAGACTGCTTTATATCATGTAAAATATACAGCTAAATAGGGAAACAATAGTCATCATACCGATTAATATGCCCAATAGCAGTATTTATTGTGACTCTTGGACCACCATCTTCTGGCCTCAACACATATGGTGGGAAGATGTCATCATCATCTATAATAGGCTCGTTTTCTGTTTCACTAATATCAACAGACTTTGAGCATTTGTTCCTCAGAATCTTAAAAAAAATAAATTAATACAGAATGGTAAGAACATTATATACATTCAGCCTTGAGATTACATTAACAGCAAGAGTGAAAGATATCTATTACAGAATATTTAAGAATAATTAAGATAGAATGGGATTATCTGTGGGCTATATCTTTACTAACTTCATATTAGGTCCCAGCCCTTTTAAGGGAAGAATTATCACAGTCCACTATCATGGAAGAGGTCACACCAACATTAACAAAAGAAACTAACAACATTGACTCAGAGATAATTAATGTTAAGATTCTTTGACTTCTGTCGGAAAAAAGATACATCAGAGTCTCTTTGTATACTATTTTATGAGTATTAGCACATAAATTAATTTCTGTATTTTTTATAAATATCTGGGTTCTCCAAATGATTAAAACAACTGCTTTGGAGCACGCAGGAACATATATGAAGTACTATTTTTCAATAGTTAAACCACTTGTGTCTTTAAAATGGCTGTCATAACTGCTTCAGAAATTACTCCCAGCTACCTTTGCAACTTGGTGCATGCACAAATTGCTAGTTTCAAAACACCTCTTTTAAAACATGTGCATGTGAATAAAAATTTAAATATTTTTAACTTTATGAAAATACAAATATATAAATAGTGGGCCAGTCTACTGAGAGATGACTATTAGTTAGTTATTAATTCATCTGAAAATCCTATGTCTCTTTTCTTACTGTATTCAGACATCTTTCTGTGGATCTTCCAGTATGGAAGTATCTTTGGGCAATATAATCTTCTAAGCATATTCTTTTTGCTCCTTTAGTTATCAAGATATCTTTCTCAATTAATTATTTTTTGCATTTCTTCCACTTTTAAGAAAAACTGATTGTCTGATAACTAAACTACTAAATCACTGTTTTATATTTTTAGAACCATAAAAACAGTTCTTTTTTAAAGCATTTGGGGATGAGTAAGATCATGTTACCTTGCATCAAGCTGATTGTGCTAATTGTATCAGTTGATTTCTGTTTCTAATTTTCCAATATTAATCCTGTAAGCCACTCTGTTATTTGGAAGTGGAATAGGCTAAAGCTTTTGTATAAATAAATAAATCCCCCCCCCAAATTCCTTTATGATTCAATGACATGGGCTTCTTTGTCACATACCTTCTCAATCGCTTTGTAGGTTTTAAGATCTTCTTCAAAACATTTAATTTTGTCTGAATCAGCTAACATGATATAGTTTGAGATTGGTGCCCTGGCTCTTCCTTTGGATTGCACATAGGAACGATATTCTGTGGGCAAATCAAAACGAACCACCAAATTGCATTTTGGTATGTCAACACCCTCTTCTACAATACTAGTTGCAATTAGCAAGTTGGTTTCATGTGCTCGAAATTTTCTAAGTACCTACAAAGTAACCAAGAAGACATATTTCTAAGACCATCTGTTGTAAAGTCATTATCTTTACAAAAGTTTAATATTCCAATACTTGCAGAACTCTACTTATAATCCAATGGTTTGGAATAAAAGTTATAGTTTTTAAAACTTATTTTAATTTTCTTCCTCAATAAAATAAAAAATTCCAGTACAATTATTTTAAGAAGAATAAAACATTATAAAAATATAAACATAACAGGTTATAATTTTAGGGAATACTAAATTTTAGGAAAAATAATTTATAAATTATTTAGTTCACATCTTTATATCAGTTTTGTTACCCAATTTATGCTGCATTATCTTTAAAATACTTGTGTAGAATCCACTTATTTGTCACTTCTCTAAAATTCAATATATTCTAAAATGTAAGTCCAGGACTCTCCAGAATTTCTTGTCACTGAAGACAGAGAAAGCATTCCTACAATTTGATCGAAGTGCAGATTTAATTCCAAAAAGGTGTTTCAAGCACAAGCTGTCTTTTTTCTTGAGATTTCCTGGCAGTGTTAACAAGTAGCAGACTAGTGCTACATTCTCATCTATGAACTAAGAATTACTCATTGGTTCTTTTACTTACTGTCATTTGCTTCATTTGAAAAATAAAATATACCAAACACTAAAATACATTTCTAGTTTATTGAAACAAGCTCATTTAAAGAACTGTACTGGAAGTTTCTGCCATTAATGATAACATTTTAGTAATGGCAATCCTGAACTGTATTTAATTATATATGAACAAAGTTCGGTTATAGAATATTTCAAATTATTCATATTAGTTAATACTAAAGTATTAATCATTTCCATTTTCCACTGAGCAAAAATAATTTTCCCAAAAGGAGTAAAATAATAATAAAAAAGTGTTCCAGCCAATATAGTTATGAGATCCTTAAATTTCAGTTCAGTGAACTAGCAACTAAGAATATCTAAAGTAATGAAAAAGCAAACCAGCTTAGTTTTCTAAACATCTACTCATATTTTATAACATAACATGTAAGTCTCATTCAAACTTAACACTCAAGTTTGATGATTTAAAATTTCTTAAAGCTGATGCTTACAAGTAAAAAAAAATAATCAAAGAACATATAGTTACATGACAACGCATAACAACCAAGTTTCACTAATACTGTCTAGCACAATCCAGGTATAAAAACAAATTGATGCATTTGCCTAACTTGTACTGTTAAAGCTATCAACATTTCCTGGACTAAAAATGTCAGTCTGGTAGCTACATTTTATTATATGTGACATGAACAAAATGGGAGTTAAATGAATCAGTTACTTATTTGGACAAATAGAAAATATATGAACTGAAACAGAACTCCTCTAAAATGAATTGAATCTGAACATTTCTGGTACTTCGTTTAGCACTGGAGGACTAAAGACCTAGGATAACTGTTCAAAAAGGGATAGATTTCAGCCTAACCTCTCTGAATAATGAAAACACTGGAGGAGACGAGGAGAAGAATTATAAGTGTAGCTCCTATTGTTAATCACAGTTTTATTGATGTCGTGTTCTATCACCAGACCATTTCAGCACTTAGTCCTCCCCAGTTCAACTCTGGTACCACGACTAATACACCACACACTGGTATTCATTCTGATTCTTCTCCTTCCCAGCAGCAGAATCATAAGAAAAAGTTTGGGGAGGGGGGAGGAATTAATAAGATCATGAAATGTAGGTCCTTGTTAGAAAAAAGTTGAATTGTCAAATCCCTCTGTAAGAGCTCCACAGCCATAATCCATTCAAATCCTAAGACTTTGGTGCAAATTGGAAAAATTAAAATTTTATAGTGACACGTGAAGATAGAATATTTTAAATGTATATTATACCCCCCCTCAAAAGTCTACGATGTGAAAGAAGGAAGGAAAAAGGAAACAAATTAATCGCACATGTCAAAACTCCTGAATTTTTTTACAGCTTTTTATTCTGTATTTTATCTTGACTATTAAAAACATAAGAGTATAAAATAATTTATTTTTTAAAAAAATTCATCTCAATAAGTGAAACTGTCAGGTTTGATCTTAGCAAGGGAAAATTTTGTCTGCAAATTTCATCTGGTTCTGTCAAGAATTAGAAGAAAATTGAGATAAAAGAGCCACATGTACTATAAGCAGATGTGTGTGTGTGGAAAGAAGGGGGAGGAGAAGAAACAGCAGCTACTGCTGCTAAAATACTTGTTTTTACACTACAATATTTCCAATAACTATCTTAATTCTTAATATTAAGTCAAATGCAATCATTAAAGAAAACCAGAGGTATGAATGCTTGGTCTTACATTTTGATTTTTTTAAAATACACACATCCAATTTATTTCAGACGCTTTAAATACATTCCTTTTTTATACGGATATTCACAACATTCAAGATGGGGAATTTCTTAATGAAGGGTTCTGATACAAGAAAATACACATTTATCTACAATTATTTTCATTAAAGTTACCTCTTCCTGTTTTCGGAATTCTATTTCCATCTGTTTGCTACGGGGCTGATTCTTTCCAATGCCATGTCCAGTTATAAAATTGCTGCTGATGTAAGCCAGCTCTGGGTCTTGTTTGCCAGCTTCTTTTATCAACCTAAATATATTACACATATTTTGGAAGATGTATAAAGTTGAAAAAATATAAGAATTTTGGGGATAAACAATACTGAAAATAGAGATACAGTTATTGATTTTCTTACCAGGATATACACACAGGTTGCATTCATTCTTTTAAAATTATTTAAACTCAAGTCCATGACAAAGAACGTCTTACATGTCTTTCATATTTATATGTGGAACATGTTTTTCATATAAATTACATGTGAAACAAAAAGTTAATACAAAAAATCATGGTTCATGTATGTTTAAATCTTCCTAAAAATCTAGTAAAGTTTTAAATTTTTAGATTAAAAATGACAGAAATATGAACCTGACATCTTTCAAGAATTTATTTTTTTCTAATTTGTGGCATACAGCATACAATAAAAATACACCTACATTCCTACAGATGCTCATAGACATTTGCACAGAAACAAAAGGACGTTCCCCAAATTAGGTGATTTTTTTTACTCAAAACGAATCTTTAAAATATTATTTTTTATATTTTTGCTAAAATACAGATATTAATAATAGTTTCATATAACTCATAATAACTGGGTTTCAATCTGTTGGAACGAGGAAAAACAAATTTGTTTTGGCCAGATAAACTTCAGAAAAATAAATATAAAATTAAGTGAACATTTAAACAAAAAATAAATTAGGCATTTGTTAGTTAAAGCCTTTTTGTGGTTGTAAAATTATTCTCAAGATGATGAGGGTTCTGCATGAACTATGCAACCCTGCTACAGATATTCAGTTCATTTTGCTTTCTTGTCTACCATTAGCGTTCTTAATAGTCTTTAACTGGTTCTCTTTGGAGTTCCCTTTAGGATTTTTTTAAAATTACAAAACAGGCTTGTACTCTTAGAGTTTCTCAGGTTTTGCCAAACCGTTCAGTTGTTTCTTTTATGTGAAACAAACAGAATACATACAATTATCTGATTAATTCTTTGGGTTTTGAGAAAATGCATATTGGCTGAGCCATAAGGCTGACTACATAAGGGGAATTTGTAACTACCAGAAGAGAGCAGAAAAGAGAAATATTCATTATAGCAATTTATTTGATTTTTCAGCCAAGGAAATAACATAATGAACTTGAATATGAAACAGAACAATTCTTTGTAGGAATGTAGTACGTAGCAGAGATTCATCACAACCATTTTTTGATATTTCTATCCTACCTCTATTATTAAATATTAAATTATATTAATTTTGTTTTAATTATATATTAATTTATTCCATATTATTATATTATTAAATAATTAAAGACAGCAAACCTATCTAATGCCCCTTTCTCCTATTTTCCCTACAACAACCCTGTGAGGTGAGTTGGGCTTATAGAGTAACTGGCTTTAGGTCACCCAGTCAGCTTTCATGTCTATGGTGGGACTAGACCTCTTGGTTCCTAGGCTGGTGCCTTAACCAGTTGAAGCTGTTGACCATTTCAAATTTAAGATCATACTGCTTTTTGTTAGTAATGGACAAAATGAGCCATAGAAAGCTGGATACTAGAATTACTATGCTGACAAGAAATTATTAAGGAAGAATAGTGGTTCCCTGCCTTAGGGGGAAAAAAATGTAAAGGAAAATTTAAAATTTTAGTTTCTTCAGTATAGGAATATATCAAAATACCACTAAATGAGATTTTAAGATTTTAAAAGAGCATTTCTGTGGATCTATGTGTCCTTTTCTAAAGGGTTAGTATGTATATCACTGAATGGTTGAATAGTTATTCCAAATTAACATTATGCCCTTTTGTTACATACAATACTTTTCATTTTATTGAAGAGATATACCTGTTTAATACAACTGCAGTGTATCTTCGTTCCACAAAAATAATTCCACACAGAATATTGGTAAAGGGAGAAGGAAAGTTAGTCTCTGTCTTCTCTTTCTCTTCAATTTCTTCATCCTCATCATCATCTTCAGAATCACTCCAAGATACATAATTATCTTGATTCCTATTATTATACCATTCAACACTTTCAAATTGTTGCCGTTCATAGGGTTTATATTTGCGCAAAATTTCAAGCAGTTTTATTACTTTTGGGGTTACAAATTTCAGGTCAAGTGAGGCAGGTGAGAAGTGCTCTTCACAGAGTGCATGAATTTTCCTTAGGAAAGTATCTGTAAACAATAAAAATTTCCTGTGCAGCTCTTCTTGCTCATGCTTAATGTATTTCTGTAGCTCTCTCACCATCATCCCAGCTACTTTATCTGCACACCACGGTCCCAGAACAAGCAACACTGCCTGACAGTCTGACAGTATCTGCAATCAAAGAAAAAATTATCAATTCAATATAGCACACACATGCACTTGTGTATATTCTATTATTAGTTTAGTCAGTAATTAATTTCATAAGAATTCAAAAGGATATCAGTAATGAATATATCTGCATATTCATTTCTCATGAGGTTGAAATTGAGTAAATTACTATTAATACAAATCAAATATGACTCACATCAGAGTTATAACATATTTTTCAACTAGTATAGATACCAGAATAAACAATGAATATGCAAGAAAAAATGAGGGAAAATAAATCACAATACTGGGGTAATGGATTGATTTGGAATGTAGGAATACACATGTGATTCACAGATAACCAGATTAAGTTCTTTTGTCCTCCTAATTTGGATTCCCGCAGGTTTAAGGGAACTCAATTGCCATAATTCACTTATATAATTTTTCCTTCTTAGTGCTTTCCCAAAGTGCAGGGGCTGCTTTTTCTTTTCTTTTTTCTTTTTGATAAACTGAGTGTTGATCCATTGTGACTGGCTTTTCACCTGAGCCTGATGTTTTGAGCTAGATTCACCCAGCTGGCTTTCTTGCCAAAGGTGAGACTAAAACTCAGTCTTCTAGTTTCTAATCTGGTACCTTAACCACCAGATAAATATATAAATAACTATATAACATATGCAGGTCCTAAAATTAATCTTTAAAAAACAAGATAGCCCAACAAGGAACAGGTTTTACAACATCTCTTTAAAAACAAACAAGAAAATACAAAGGTTTTTTTTATTTATTACCAAAATTATACATTTCATATTGTTGTTTCTTGGCTATTCCTAGTAAAATATTAGGAGAGAATTCTGCAACTTGTCTCTAACTTAATCTTGAGTAAAATTCTTATGTATTTTTTAAAATTCTCAGGTTTGACTTTTAGAACTTACAGAGTTTATCTTAACTTCCTAATTAGCTATTAATACAAAACTCATAGCAAATAAATGAAGAAACAGAACCTTTATGAAGGTGAAAATTTATGTGAAACTATATGACTTAAAATATAGTAAAGCAATTTTAATAAGATAACAATGATGCATATATTGTTGTCTATACCTGCTTAGAAATTAAGATGGAATCTCTCTCTCTACAATGTACAGATATGTTGCAATCATTCAGAAAGCTAAGCGCATCATCCAGCTCTGTTAACAGTCTTTCATAGAGCCCGCTTTTGTCAGAATATGGTCCGCAATCCACCACAATCTCACATGGCTGAGAAGTATATCTTTTCCATGAAAAAACAAAAAAAAATGCTTATAATTGTTGAGAGTTCATAAACGCAAGACGCTAATAATTTAAGAGATTACATGGTATTTAAAAACTATATGAGACTATGAAGATACAACATGCAAGCTGACATTATCAAAACAGATTTAAAATTCCATTAAAAATAAACAAAATCAAAATGCTGACATTCTAGATAGGCACAATCATATCACCTTTTCCATATAAATGTTCATGAATGACATTCAACATTCAGTAACATATGTGGTAAGATACCTGTCCAGAACTACTAAATCAGTTGCCGTTTCAGCACTGCTCTTTAAAATTTTCTCCAATTTTTGAATCTTCTCCTCTAACTCTGCCGGATCACATTTTCCATTTAAAATGGAAGCGGTTAATCCCAAGATTCGAGGACAGGATGGACAACTCTCACAAAGCTGAAAATAAATTGGAAAGAAATCCAAGGGTGCATTCAAATACAAGGATAGGATAAGAAAGAATTCAATAATAAATTGTGAAATTCTATAGCTCTTTTTCAGTATGGAAAAAGAATGCCAGAACAATGTGAGAAAAACAAAAAATTGATTTACTGTTTACACATAGATATTTTATTTTTGATACTGTGCTGATATTAGAACATAGTAACTCTGGCCATACACAATAAATCTGAAGTTAGAATTTTGCAATGGCTTTGAATCCATTCCAAGGGGAACTTACCCCAGCCTTCGTTATAATACAGCTGTTTTATTCCCATATATAGTCCCAAAGGAGGAAGTCCAATTCTTATGGTGCTGGAATTTTAAAATTCCACAGATTGACAGTAACTTGGTTATTTAAGTAAATTCCCTACATCTTTTTATTTAACATTTGGCAATGAGATATTCTCCAAACAGATCATTTTAATACAGTTTGCAAACATCAGTTACTAAGTATAATCAATAAATCTCCTTGACAAAAAAATGTTTATGCCAAGCTCCTTTCCATCTTATACTACCCTCAAAACCCAGAGTAAAGAATACTCCTGAGCATTTTTTTTACTCTGAATTAATACAAAAATAACTTTGCATACTTGTAAAAAATACCTTGCCACTGGCCATTCAGCTCAGATAGACCCAATTCTTCTTTCACTCACTTCAGCAGAATTTGCTGAGTAAATGCATATGCTCTATTCACTTGTGAATCTTAACAGGGGACAGACTGTTAATCTCTTCAACGGAAAAGCTGCTATCAGAATGAACAACATATTTTAACTATAACACTATCTAATTATATAAAGGTAAATCGAGAATGACTTATAACTGGTTGTCAACAACCATTCAAAGTTAAAATCACCCTCACCAAAGGTACTTACAACCCAGTTCTGAAGGCATGCCCCTCATGGTCATGTGACCACATTTTGGGCTCTTGACAATTGGCCTACATTTATGGCCATTTGTAGCATCCTATAGTCATGTGACTGCAATTTATTATGCTTTTTGACTAAAATTGGTGTTTACTTCCAGTTTTCTGCAAAAATGTCCCATAGTGAACAATGGTTTCCTTAATGACCACAACATTCATTTAATTACCAGATTCACCTAATGACCATGGTAATTGCTTAATGACCACTGTAAAAACAATCATAAAATCAGGTTGGTCATGTGATCAGGGCTGTGGAGTCGGTAGATAAATGTTCCGACTCCGACTCCTCAGTTTTTTGTACTTCCGACTCCGACTCCCCGACTCCGACTCCTCTGTATTAATATGCAAATGTATTTTATACATTCCATGCACATGAAAAGCATGCTTCTTCACGGTCACTTAACGTGTTCGTTTTGCAGTTATGTGAGGCACTGCATGCATTGGTCTTTATTCTTACAGTAGAGAAGTCATTAATTATAACTTTTTGTGAATTGGGACATTTAAACTTGCTTTTTTTTTTAATTCCAATCTAAATTTAGTAGGAGTCGGAGTCGGTGCATTGTTTGCCGACTCCGACTCCAGGTACCCAAAATTTCCTCCGACTCCGACTCCTCGACTCCGACTCCACAGCCCTGCATGTGATGACCTGGTTTACAACTCTTGCAACTTGCGACCATAATAGGCAGTCTCCATTAAAGTTGTAAGTCAAGGACTACCTGTAATATGATAGTAAACCATATTTGCTAGCCCCTGCAATTTCTGCACTGGAAAGGTACTTCTTCCAAAATTTATATCCCATGAGTGGTACATAAACAATGGAAGGGAAGGATATGAACTTTTATATATAACTAAGTTAGGAATGTACAATCCTTCAGACCTGAAGTCAAAAAGGTCCTTCAGCATAGACAAAGATATTCTTGCAACACATGTCATTACTTCTATAAAGAAACTGGAACTTTCTCAAAGCTTATGTAATAGCTGCAAGATTCCAGGAGAGAACATACTTGAGGTAAAGAAACACCACCAAAGGTAGTCTTTGACTTACAACCAGTCACAAAGCAACTATTTAAAGTTAAAATGAGCTAATAAAGTACTTCTGGCTATTGTAAAATGCCCCCCCCCCGGTCAGATTGCATTTTAGGCACTTGGTGCGGTTTCTGGCAAAAAAATACACCTTTCAGAAGAATAGGCTTGCTCTTATGTTCGCTTAACAACTGTGGATTGACTTAACAACTACAGTCATTTTCTTAATAACCACTGCAAAAAAAAGTCAGAAAATCTGGTTTGCTCATGTGGGTGCTTGGACTTATGATCGTAACGACTTATGACTAGAAATCTGGTCCCAACGGCGACTGAGTCAAGGATACCTGTATTCGCTACCTGCTTCAAAAGAGCTTTTCAGCTTCTTTGTAGTGCTGCACATTTTATAAATACTTTTCCTAACTGATGTGCAGTGAAAATTGAAGAGTAAGTCCCTCGCTGAGTAATATACCTTCATAATTTCTCTATAAGGATGATCCTGGATTGCAAGATGACACTCATCAAAAATAAGGAGATTAATGTTTGAGAGGGCTAAATGTTCATTTTTTAAAACATTCAAAGCCATCTGACAGGTCATAACCAGAACCTGAAAAAAACGCAAGAGAAAAATAGCATTACTGCTATGGAAAAAGCTAAAGGTTTCTTAATTTAATCAATATTAAAAATAAACACTTGTTTATTTTTACATAAAAACAGTCTGTAACACAGAAGTTGCCCTTTTATTTAAACTTCAGGCATGGGGTGAACACATCTGAATCCTATTCAAAGGCTGCTCAAATTGAATAACATCTTACTTTTTCAAATTAGACAATATTTGTAGTGCTGTTCTATAATATTCCTATTAAACAAAGAGATTGCCATTCTACAATTTTAAAATTCTGTTATGAAGAAAATTAGATATTAGATTAAAAAAAACCTCTAAAGACATTTTTACTGTAATATCTAATTGACACAGATTCAGAGAAATACCAATTAAGGGTAAAAATCCCTTAAAGTTGTGCCTATGAGCCAACTTTCCTCTTCTTTAAAAGAAACACAACATTTTGCATCTCTGTATCTACATGAAGCAAAGTAGCTCAGAACATCATTAGTATACCAACCTCTGGTTTGAGATAAGAAAAGATTAATAAGATAAATATTTGGGGGGGGGGGGTGTGCTGTATCGACTCCTGACAACTGCCTAGATTCGTCACTATAGCTTTCTTGACAACACTTTTGGAAGTGGTTTGTCATGCTTCTGCCTAAGCTGAGAGACAATGACCAGTCAAGGTTACCCAGCTGACTTTGAGCCTAAGGTGGGACTAGAACTACAGTCTCCTGATTTCTAGCCTGGTGCCTTAAGGACTTCATTACGCTGGCTTTCTACCAGATTTCAGGGCTTCTTATCATCATCCTTCATATCCAGACCCTTGCTTCTGTTTATACAGCAAGAGCAATCTAGAGAACCACTAGGAAGTTTAGCAAAGTAATTGTTATTTAGATATTAATATTTTTCATATAACATTACACAAGTAATAGAGTAAGCTACACACTTTGACTGTATATCCCACATAAATGGGTAAGACTATATTTAATATTCCAGTTCTCACACCTTTCCTAATTCTATTCTGCCTATATTCAATGAACATTTATGACATTTATGTTATGTTTATTGAAATAACACACAATTCTTTACCAGAGAAAATTAATCATGATGTCAAATTTATAGTTTAAAAAATATAAAGATACCTCACCTGATACTTTGCAAATTCCTGGTTCCATCTTTCTTTTGTCCATGCTTCTGTTATTTCCACACTTGAATAGTCTCCTACTTTGAGATCTGAATGTGTCTTAACAGTTGATACTTGCTGAGCAACTTGGTTTGCTTTATAGGAAAGAAAAGACAATTAGGGATAGTAAAATGAACACTTTGACATGTATTCTCAAGTACACACGCAACTTTTTATCTCTCTTCTGTTCAATCGTCTGATTCTTGGAGACTAACTGGACAAGTCCCTGCTGGTTTTTTTGCCAAGGTTTCTTTCTTTCTTTCTTTTTTTTCCTTCCTAGGGCTGAAAGAAAATGATTGGCCCCAAATCACCCAGCTGGCTTTGTGCCTAAGGTGGGACTAGAATTCCCAGTCTCCTGGTTTCTAGCCTGATAGTTTAACCACTACATCAAACTGGCTCTGTTGCACAAATTAGAATCATCCATATTAGGTCTACGAAAAGTAGACACTTCTCAGTTAAGTTTATTTCTCACAGAATGATTATATTCAATTTTTAACATGTACAGCCATACAATTTCAATTTCATCTTTCCTGTTAACAAAACATTATTTCATTTTCTTATTTTAAAAACCCAGTCTAATTGTATTGTAAAATTAAAAATGATCTCATCCTTTTGATTAAATTACATTAAATCCATACCGGAATTAACCAAAAATACTGTTCTTTTTCCTTTTTTTTTGAAGTCTTCCCGGATCTGATAAGAGAGTTCTTTAATGAGTAGTACTGCAATAAAAGTCTTCCCTGAGCCAGTGTTCAAACAGACAATAGTATTGTGATCCAGAGCTGCTTCCAGGAGTTCCACCTAAAACAAACACACTTTTATTTTTTGAAAAATCCTTGAATAAGTTAGATTTCAGACTAATCAATCAAATATCTTTTAAAAAAAATACTTAATAGGCCAGAGAGAGCCAAATCAAACATTGTCTCTTGCTTCTAAAGAACATTTTGAAGTCATTGAAATACAATGGCTCAGTATTATGGGGATTTTTTTGGATTCACAGTACTGCTTGAAAAACGATTGCAGGCTGTGACTGAGAAAGCTTTAAAACAATTACACCTTGTGCTCTATTTCCAGCCCTTTCTGGGATAGGAAGCTTTGCTCTAGAGCAGGGGTAGTCAACCTTGGCTCTTTTATGACTCGTGGACTTCAACTCCCAGAATTCCTGAGCCAGCTATGCTGGCTCGGGAATTCTGGGAGTTGAAGTCCACGAGTCATAACAGAGCCAAGGTTGACTACCCCTGCTCTAGACTGTATGGGCCTGTCACCTTATAAAGGGACTAATGCAATTTGTTCTACATAGAGCTGCCCTTAAAAACCACTGGGGAATTTAAACTGGCTCATGTAGATATGGGAATATTTTGGTTTATTAATGCAGTACCAATCCTGTGGGATTTGCATTGGCTGTCAGTTAACTTCTGCCAAAGACAGATCTCGCAGTCAGATTAGACTACAACAGGATGCCTATTTCAGGGTTCAATATGTGGCCACCAGGGAACCACAAGACTTTCTCTATGAATGAACACTTGTTTCACAAAGATTATTATTGGTTCAAGATGAGAGTAGATGTCATGTTTGTTACCAGACCATGTATAGGAGATGACCAGGAACAGCCTGAGGGAGAGGTCAAACGCATAATTAGTGTCAAGTCCCTTCACGCCCACGAGTAATCTAAGTCCAGTTCACTTTGAATTTCATTTACTCTTATCTACCACCAACTTGCTTTGACCATTAGTAGTTCAGATTCTTGTAGTGAGCTTAAGCTTGCAATAAACCTTTATATTCATTTGACCTGACTGAATTTCCTGATTTCTCTGGTGCTTGACATTAATCTTAACTACTCCTCTTCAGCAACATTTTCACAGACTCTGGAATATCCAAGCTATAGCTTCAGATCCCAGAGATACCGCAACAGTGGACGAACTAGACATACGTTCTATCTATAAGATGGTATAGAACAGGGGTCCCCAGCCCCCGGTCTGTGGACCAGTACCGGGCCGTGGCATGCCAGCAACCAGTCCACACAAACAAGCAAAGCCCCATCCGCGGGATACAGGCAGCATACAAAACCATACACCCTCCGGTCCGTAGAAAAACCTCTCTCCATGGAACAGGTCCCTGGTGCCCATAATTTTGGGGACCTCTGGCATAGAAAATAAAATGAGGAATTTTGCAGCAAATCTTCAATAACTGATATAGCAAGTACAGATTCTGACTCAACAAGGGATTCTGCAATGAGCCTATTCTGGATAATTCTCAAACTTCCTCACCAGATTCAGAAACCATTTTGGAAACCCTATTCAGATGGAAACTGCCAAACAACACATCTACCAGCTCCGCCAGAGCAACAACTGCATGAGAACATAGGTTGAAATCTTCAAGCTCCTTGCAGATCTCGACTGGAACAAGCCAGCCTTAAGAGCACCATTCAAGAGCAGGCTCAACAAGGCCATAATCACGCAACTGATACAACAAGGTATTCTCCGCAGTCTACAAGACTCTACCTATTTGCTATAACAAAGCACAGCACTTTTCAGCACTCCCAGCCAGCCACTTCCAAATCTGTTTTTTAAAACATTTTTCTCAGACCTCTTCTCAGTTTTAAAAATTATTGATAATCCAAAATAACTTTTGTTTATATGGTTTGTATTAACCAATATTTATTGTATTGAAAATTACAGTTGATACGTTTGCTGCCACTACCACTTGTCACAATTGTTTGATAGGATTTTAACACTGTATTATTTTTCAACATAGGTTGGAAAATAATTTTGATTTTGCAGATCTCTGAGAGGGTCTGGGGATCTCCAGGAGTCCTAGGACCATACTTTAAGAAACATTGTTATAGATCATGGTTTTAGATATCAGAGTATTTATGTGTTAGTGAATCATATAATCTGAGTTCTCAGTTTACAACAAAGTTTTGGAAGGCCTCTTTCAGTAATTAGATATTCTGATTAATTTGCCATCCTTGAATTATCTGGCCCCTAATGATTAATCAGAGAGAATGACCCAATATCAGAACAGTACTTGAGTTATCGTCCCTTACAACTGCTGTCTCTCACAGAATTTGCCTGAGCAACTCAATACATTTTCCACAGGTATGTCTCCCTGTCAAGCAAATCTAGAGTTTCCATATCCACTTCTTGCGCTCTAGAATTCCAGCATCCACTGGAATTCCCCATACTTTGTTCTTCTCAGCATTGGCAATTTTAAGATGTATGGACTGAATTCCCTAGCCAGCAAATTGCCAAGGTTGAGAAATGCCTTGGATTTTCTATAAGAAAAACAAGTTAAGCATCTCTTCTTAAAGGAGCACATAGATTTGACGAAGGCTGCAAACAAGCAATCTACCAATTCTGACAATTAGAATGGAGCAGCATTTATGATAAAAGTAAAATAGACAATGTATCCTAAATTATGCAAATCAAACAAAAGGCAAAGAATCATTTTTACACTCGGATAAGAAAAACTGTTGATTTTCTTTTTTTCTCTCTCTCTACCATTCTCATTACAATAATAATCTATTAGGAATGGGCTCTGGCTCTCTGGTGCATCAAGAGGGAAATGGGAAAGCCCAATAGAAACATTATATTTTATGCATTGTTCTTCGATTAAGTCAAATAGGTTAATGTAATAGTATTGCTTTCTAGATACTATAGTACAGTACTTCAATTTTGAAATTCCTGGACACAAAATGGTAACAGAGATGACTGTATCTTTTCTACTTCTAGTGTTAGCAACTAGAGACAAAAATATCTGTAATGAACACATAACCTAACAGAAATATACTCTAAGACACAAACATATTTTCATTGTAAACAATATTAGCATTACAATTAGTACCTGATATTTTCTTGGTGTGTAAATGTTATCATGAATTGCTTCTTGTTGCCATGGTAGTCCAAAAAAAGGACCCATTGGAGAGGAAGCTGGGGTCATGAGTTGTAGTCCTGCCATGTTGAGGGGTTGAAAAGCAGAGCTTTTCATTCATTCATCCAGTGTTTCGTTCATAGCATTTTTCTGCACAGCTTACTATTGTGGAAGAGAGTACAACAACATTACAACTATTTACTAATCATTTATGCACATAGACAGAAAAATATTTAAAAGTTTAAAAACATTTTAAAATAGAAACTGACACAAGCATAGAATCCCAAGAAACAATCCAAATAGTGAAAATATTATAATACCACCCTAACTGGGTAGCATTCTTCCAGGAAGTAAAAAAGAAGGGTACCACCTTTATTTAGGTCAAAAACAAAAAAGGAAAGAAAAGCAAAAGGGCTTTTAGTAGCATACTAAGTCTATACTTCAAAAAGCATGTCGGAGCAGGATAAAGAAACAGGCACACCTCGGACAAAAAATAAAACCTGAATTGATTTAAACTAGATTACAGTATATTACAATAATTATGACTATACTGGAATTAGTCAAATTCCTATCTGTCAGATTAAAATTAACAATTCAGTGACTTCAGGGGAAGCAATTGTGAACTAGCACGTCTCTGAATGAGTTGAGATGATGACCATGGCAAAAACAGAACCAGGATAGACTGGTTCTAAAAATCTCTTTTGTCTATCCTAAGCAATAACAGAAATTCATTTCAGAAACTGGACATTAGAGGGGATTAAAGATTCCAGGTAGAAAAGAAAAAGAAAGTTTGCCCTTTGATTTTGGTTAGTGTTTAATTTACAGAATGACACAAAATATTATGACATATACTCCAGATTGCTGAAGAACAGGGTCAGAAATTATCAGCCACAATATCAGCAATGTCTGCTGCTATGGTTAGATTATTTCTAAAAGTTGTTATGAAATGACAGACGTAAAAGGGAATATTTTGAGATTTACAGGATAAAGAGGTGAAACAAATTTTGACTGATGTAGAAATATTAAAACTACTGGAAAATAAATAGCGTGGATTGTAAAACAGAAAACAATTAAAATGAAGGCATACTTAGAAAACGAATTGCTGAAAGGAAGATGGATTTGCCCTATGACTTTCCGACTGCTTGCACAATCTTCACGACTCCCCTTCCCAAATGGGTCCACGGCTGTTCACAAGCTGTTTTGGGTCATTCCTAAGTGCTCCCATTCAAATTCAGGAAGCAGCACTACCAGAGAATCAGTTTTGGCAGCAAAATGAGCAGATCGTCAGCAGGAAAAGGAAAAATCCCTACCATTCAGCAGGGCAAATTATAACTTTTCTTATATTAGCATTCTAAACATTTCTGAACATTTCACATGACAAGAAAAATATGAATCACCTTCACATTGAATTTGAAATTAAACAAGAGAATTCTTGTTTATTTCGTATTTCAAAAAAAATATTTTTTTTATTTCAGTAAAGAGTATGTGATAAAATCTCTAAAAACATTTACAAAATAGAGGACCGATTTTCATTTTATGTACAAACTTAAAAGTACATCCAAGCAAATTCAATGGATGTATATCTAGAATTTTTTTTCTAACTTACTATCTGTAATCTTATATTTTGGGATTCATAGTTGTCTCTTAGAAAACTAAATTCCGCTGAGTAGAAGAAAGATATCACTGAACACCTTTTTATTCTTACTCTGCACTGAACTCTTTCTTTTGGATTAGTAATAATGGGGAAAGAAGAAGTACACTATTAGGTCTCAATGTCCAGGAGCATTCAAGATATACGGAGTATATTATATGGCACAGCTAGGAAATACCACTAACTTTAATCTGGACACAAATATTTCCAGGCTGTCAAAAGTCTATTCTGCCCCACATGGTCGTATCTGCCTTTCAAGAAAAAGATTGAAAAAGTATTATGCATAGGATGCTCTCCAATGAACAACAAAATTGCAGCCTTAGTAAGCTAGTGACCAGGATGAGGTTTAAAGCAATGACTACGGTACTGCTCATTCACCTATGCTACATTGACTTTCCAGCCTTAATAGATTTTGTTCTAAATATTCCTTGACAAGAGAGAATCTTTAATTTTCTGCTACTTAAAAGATTCTAATAAATCTATAAAGAATGAATATTTAAATACTAAGTGACAATATTCAGAACATTATTCTAACAACGAGAATTTAATTTGAATGGAAAAAGGAGAATGTAAATGAATACATATCACCAGTAAGATTCTTCATGAAATTGGGAGATAATAAGAACTTGTGATGTACTGCATTACTTTTCATCTTCCAAGCAATCTCTTCAGAATGCAAATTCCATTTAACCTTTCGATACTAATTTAATTCAGGGGCAAAACAACAACAAAATAGTGTGCAGCACTAATAATATTTAAATGGCAAAAAAGCTTAAGTCAAGGTCTTACATGGGAAAAATGTGTAAGGGATTCATGCTTAAGAGCGCAAATACTGTGAAAACATGCAATTACAGAGCTCAATCTGATCTCCTATTCATGATTAATACACAAGTGATACAAACATTTTCCAATAGGCATATTAATTGCTATCAAAAGCAACATTCATTTTATACAAACAGCTACAAACTTTCTATTCTTTGGCTCAATTCAATGTTTATGAAATACCCCTATAGAAATGTTACATTTTCATTTTTTCGAATGAGGATAAAGTCCAAAGCAAACATGCTGTAAATTCTTAATCATATTGTTTCTATTTTTAGGAATAGAGAATATTCTTTATTGGCGTGTGATTGGACACACAAGGAATTTACCTATTTTTGTACAAAGATGATCCTCATTTATTTATTAAACAAAATATATGGCCATCCAACTCATACACGGTTACTGGGCAGTGTATGTGCTAGAAAACTATGAATGAATAAAAATATTTCAAAATTCTGTACAGTTATGTGCATACTGAAAATCAAAAGCTATTTCTACTATCTAATAAAGCCTCATGAAAATATTTTCACTTTGCAATCTTATACATAACTGAGCAGAGACCCCACTAAACTAAATGGAATTTACTTCTCGGTAGACATAAATGGGACTGCACTATTACTAACTTATATTATAATTGATACTTCAATAAATAGTTGTAGAAATAAATAGTATGATTCAGTTGCTAACAGCTGGAATTAGACACTTTAGTTTTCTTACAATACTGTGATGCTCCAGGCACACAAAGTTTTATCAAAGGTAAAAAGAGGCGAGGGAACTAAGTGTGAGGGTCTAGGCAGAATCATGCCCTGTTATGTTGATTGTGACTTGGAACTGACTGCTCAGCCCATAGAAACGTAGTTGACACCATGACGCAAGTAGAGAGAGGAAAGCTTACAATTATATCAAGAAACGGCTTTAGGACGATTTTATCATTGAAAATAAGCTATTACTTCTTTTCAGAGATAGAGTAATTTCCATAAGGATATTAACCTCATATACTTGCATATTGTGATTTTAAGTTACATTGGCACCATAGAAACTTAAAATCACTTGAACTTTATGGCTTTCCCTGCCAATTCAGTCATTATAAGGATGGTCAAACATTTTCAACCTTGAGGATACTAGAATTAAAATTCTGCTAGCATTTCTACTGTAAATATTTTAAATGATTTGATTTAAAATTGTTTAACACCTTTGCAAAAGCCTGTTCCTTAAAGCAGGTACTTGACTTAATTTAAAAGAAGCACACATAGGAAAAAATATTACTGTTATTTCAGTTTAAAATATAAAATGTTAATTTTTTATAAATATTCAAGGTGATTAATCCACTTTTTTACAATAAATTATACACAATTTAATATGGATATATGGCATATAAAATTTCAAAACACACAATACAGACAGCAATAAACCTTTCAGCATCACAAAATATCTCACTTTAAGAAGGCAATTTTGAAATAGTTACTAATTAATTTATATATTCATTACTTATAATTTTCTCTATGATCTATTTTTTCCAAATAAATAATAGATTATTAATTTTGTGCAGATTAACTATTATCAACTTACTGTATTAATTTCTGAGATCTCTGCGTATATGTTTTCTGAACTGCATTCTGACACCATTATATCTGCATGTATGGTGTGTATGGTAATCACATCACTGCCAAGCTCCTGTTCATTTAACAGAAGAAAACTCTTGTTAAAAGACTCTAAACATTTTTTAAAAACATAAATAAAAAATTCAACTGCAATTGTGATTTCTTCTTTGACTAAGATTTAATCAGAGTAAATTTGTATGAAATATTAATTTAAAACTAAGATTTGATTTTAAAAGGAATAAAGGCTCAAGAGTTGATTACAAGCACATTTAAATGCATTCAAATACAATCAATGTTTCCAAGTATTTTTGTTCTAACAAAACCCCAAAGAGGAAGTAAATTAACAAAGTAAGTGGAATATATTCTACATAATAAACCTGAATTTCAAAACAAGAAAACTAATTTAGCAGATTGTTTTATATATGTATATATGCTTTTTCTTGATCAATTACAGGAGTAGTGTGTTCCTATTTGTCTTACTGAGCCTCTTCATATTTTTGATATCATTCAGCATGATATCATTGAGCACAATGAACTCCCTATAAGCATTGGGGTAGGAGAGATTGTTTTCTAGTGGTTTCACTCTTTGCTCAAGGTGGAATGTTAAATCACTTCTTGTAGAGGAACAAAGTTTGGCCTGTAGCTCTTGATATGAGGGGGTACCATGAGTCAATCCAATCTTCCCGGTTGGAAGCCCCTGTGAAAGGTCATTTGACAGTTTGGAGTTTGATATCTCAATATGCTGCTGATACGTAACTATACATCACTGCCCTTGACCTGAAGGAGATGCTGTCAACATTCTTTCCAGTATTTAAAGCATAGTTGTCCAATCTTTTGGCTTGCCTGGGTCACACTGAGTGAAAATAAATTCTCTTGGGCCAAATATAAAATATATAATATAGTTAATATACACAAATAGCTTCCTTTTAATTTTTTTAAATTATTTTGTGGGGGGCTGCATTACTGTCTACTGCTGCATGCGGCCCATATCTGATCTAAAGGTTGTCAAGGTCTGAATGGGAGAGAACAGAACTCAAGAGCTGCTGTGGATACAACGATCGTTGCTGTGCATGTTTGAGGGTCTTTCTGGATTCACACCACCTTCTTGAATAGAAGATGAAAGCTATGGACACAGGGATCTATAACAGCTTCCGCTACTGTACCAGTTGTAACCATATATGAGGCAAGAGAACCTGCCTGCACAAATTCAGTCTCATTATTACCATTAGTATAATATATGCCAGTTAGGGATGCCCTTAAAAATTATTCAGAAACCACAGTTGATCAAAAATGCAGTTGCCTGCATTCTTTCTGGCTCCTAGTTCTGATACAATACAACATTATTTTTGCAAAGACTGCACTGGTTTCCGATTGATCTCTGGGTACAGTTTAAGATACTGATTTTGACTTATAATGTCCTTTATGGCTCGGTGCATGGATTCCTGCAAAGTCACCAACTCCAGCTAGTATTAGCTAGGCTGAATAGAACATCTAACGAGGAATTGCTACAAATCCCATTTTCAAGTGATAATGCTATAGAACAGCCTCCCAGAAGAGATCAGCTTAGCTCCCTCTTTGCTGGCATTCTGGAAGCTGTTGAAGGAATACTTTAGATGTTTTGAATTAATTTTACCACATAATTTGTGGAAAGACAGAAAATCTTGAAAAATGTACCATCACACAAAAAAAGGGAGCAGATAACGTGTGTGGCTGTCAAATAAGTCTACCAATAGCTTCTACAATAAATGAGATAAAGTTAGAAAGCATAAAATTCTACTTTTGTATCTGTAACAAATATCAGCATTATCTCACAAGTACTTTTTTTCCAAAAGGCAACTGGATTTTCTTTTTTTTTCCCCTTTGGAAACCTTTCGCTTCTCAACTAGGAAGCTTCTTCAATTCTAATTGTTAAAACCGAGTTCGGAGTTAGTACTGAAGAAGCATCTTGAATAAGAACTGAAATGTTTTCAAAGAAAAAAAAACCCAAGAAAGTCCAGTTGCTTTTTGAAAAAAAACACCTTTGGGACCTGGATGATTAAGAATCTCCACAGACAAGTATCAGCATTATAATTTGTGTCATATGAAGTGAAAAAAAATGTGAAACTCAGCTACTTTTCACAGACATTTGTATAAAGCACTTCCTTGCATTTCAGACACATAGTTACTATTTGTCTAATATTTCACTGAATGGAGAGAAAACAACAACAACCAACCATGGCCATGAAAGATCAATAATAATTGCAATATTGTCTTTTCTTGATTTCTGAATAGAAATCTCACTGATATTTCTTTTTTGCCTATCTTAATATGGTATCTAAGAAAATTAGTTTGGTCTAGTGGTTCAGGCACCAGACCAGAAGCCAGAAAGCTAGTCCAGCCTTAGTCATGAAAGCTGACTGACCAACTTTGAGCCAGTTGCACTCTCTCAGCCCAAGCCATCTCGTAGGGTTGTGAATAAATTTGGAGTATAGTGTTTGCCATCTTATTTATAAAAATAATAAAGGCAGGATAAATATGTTATTTTAAAATATAAACAAATCCTTGGTAAATTCATTTAAATTTGACAATTAATTTTGCCCTAAGTAAAAATAGAAAATCTCAAGTATAATCCAAGCATACAGTATGTTCAATTTCTAAATACATTAGATAGTACATTTGTCAAGTCCAGATCTAAATAAATCTTAAAATTTGTAGTTATTAGAGTAATGTTTGGTGGTTCATTCTCCAAGCTTGTGGGTTGGTTTTCCAGGCTAGGTAACATCTTCAGTGAAATTTAGGAGATGTCTATATTTGTTTGAATTGAAGGATGATCAATCCTAACACTGATATTTAAATTATTTCTGCATACTAAAAATTTGTGGCATTTGTGTTTTTTTCCTACAGAAATACTCTTTCAACTGATTGAAACTTTTCCAGCATCAGAACAACCCAAAACCAAGACAGCTTAAGTGTGTGCGTGTGTGTGTGTGTGTGTTTATGTATACACAAAGATAGAGAAGTGTAGAAGCTTGTATTTTGAAGAATTTAATAATCTCAATCAGCTGATCTAAAAAAATCTTAGTATTTTAACAATTTGACCATGATGATGATAATGGAAAATAAAGAACAAAGGTTAACTGTATATGCAGATCATTCTGAAGAACACTCCACTGCTAAATCCTGATAAGAAATATTTAATGATTAGATTTTTATGTTGCTACAACTGTGCAGCACTCAACAGTGTATGCATAAAACAACAATAATAAAGTACATATAAAATCAAATTTCCATGGGGAAGCTGTTCTATAATGTGGGGCTACCACATTACCTCCTTCTGGCTTCCACCCGTCTCTCATATCCCAATAATTGGGAATTAAAAGCATTTTTTCTTGCAATATTTACACTGGCAGAGTTCATTTTAGATGAAGAAAGTATCCCAATACTTTTTCTTCACTTCTCATCTTAGATTAAGAATAATTTAATCATATTTCTTAATTATTACAAGCAGGACGGAGCAACAGTGAAATATCACTCTTGTCATCCATCCATCAAGGTAGATATTAACAATGTACAGCACTCTGCAACACATACTGCAATTCTCAAAATTTCTTAGCAACCTTATATGGTAGATTGCAAGGATGAACTATCAGTTTTTCCCAGCCTGCTGAATGGACAAAGATACTGTGAAAAAGCACTCTACAGCACTGAAAAAAAGCATATTCCAACATGTTTGGCAGACTTTTGGAATTGCACATTTCATTCACCATCTCCCAGCCAATCTTCTGCAGATCATTGTTCCAAAAATAACCCACAGAAACATCACAAAGAGAGACAAAGCTTCTTCCCTGCAATTGTGTTCAAAACCTGGAAAGAAAGAATGTCTATTTATATGTCTATATATTTACAGAAAGACTGACATAGTGCCTGACTGCTTTATGCAAATTGAGGGGCAAAACTGTTTTCCAACCTGGCACTAAGCTATGAATAAGACTGCCATATTATGAAAACCCAATTGAGATCAATGTAGATTTCCAATACTTTATTCAAAGCAAATAATATAGAAATGATATAATGACAGAGCCCTCAACAGTTTTCCAAATTGTATCTGCTGTATATTTTCTACAATTTTGCCACTGTTCAACACAGTGCTCAAAAATGTATCAATTCTCCAGGTTTGTTCTGCTAGACAAAATCTGTTAAACAATATTTGAATTGTTCAGTATGAATTAAAAATAGTTATATCATGTGAATACTGGAAAACTGCACTAGTTACGTAACTTGCCAATAAATTATGCAGCCCTGAAAAGCTGTAACAGATTCTTTGAACACACTTCTCACATTAAAAAATGGCTGTTCTACATGTGATAAAACTGTTTAAGAGATTACCTGTGTTGCATTAAGAACACTAATAATTTTCTTGTGGTAATTTGATCAAAATTAATGTCTACATTCTCAAGTTTTTGCCCTATAGAGAAATACTGTATAAATAAAGCAGGACAAGAAAGCAACGGATGGAAACTAATCAAGGAGAGAAGCAACCTAGAACTAAGGAGAAACTTCCTGACAGTTAGAACAATTAACCAGTGGAACAACCTGCCTCCAGAAGCGTTGAATGCTCCAACACTGGAAGTTTTTAAGAAGAAACTTGTATGCCATTTGTCTGAAATGGTATAGGGTTTCCTGCCTGAGCAGAGGTTGGACTAGATGACCTCCAAGGTCCCTTCCAACTTTATTATTATTATTATATACATGTGAAAAACTAACTTTTGGTGTATTGGACATATGATTCTTCAGTGTGAAGGGTACTAGCAACTTTACAAAAGGATTTTTTAAATAACGAGTGGATTGATAGAATACAGTCAGCTTGCACATTTTTTCCACCTTATCTTGAATTTTCATCTCCGCTCTTATATGCTGACATGAAATTTCATTGTTAACACCAAAAATAAGTTATAGCACTTCCAATTATAATGTACTCCTAATTAACAGCAGAAAACCATATTCAGATTATGCTATAAAGCAATATCAATCTTTACAGTTTAGCTATTAAAACTAGGAGGAAGAGAATTTAAATGCAGAAAAATGTGGTGTTTGAATTCTCTTTGATATTAAAAAGCCAAAATAAATCTTTAGCCTTCTTTTAGTAGTTTCAGTCTCTCTGTTCAAAAATCCAAAATAGGATGAAGCAGAGGAACGTCTGTAAGACTAATCAGAAACAAGAATTAATCTTTTCACTACAGCAAAAGATGGTAGTACAATGTTTCATACCCATCTTAAATAATCTTGTGCTATAAGTATATTAGAAGTTGTCATTATGCTGCACATCATCTCTACTTTCTCCTCAGACAATACAATAGAGAATTTAAAAAGATGCCATCCTAACCTTCTATTTAAGTGATAATCAAAATGGCTGTTTCTGATTATGTTGCTACATCTGAAATTATTCATTTAGCACCCCAACAATTAAGCAGTTTTATAGCAGATAATTTTTAGAATTTGGGTTTAATTGAATGGTGTACATTTGCCTTCATTCAGTGTACATTTCTCTTTTTCTCAAAACCCATTCCAGAGAATAGAAATGTAGGAATGAACAGAAGCATATTTACGTGGCACTGATTATATCTCTTTGAATTACTAATGACTTTTCCATTCTGTAAAACATTTTCACTATTAAATATTAAGAACCTCCTTCAGTTTGGGAAGGATCTAATCATACAAAGAGTACATTCATATTATTAGATGTTAATCAATGTTTTGTCCCTCTCCATCGTTTAATAGGACTATCACATTCATTTCTCTGCAAATCTGTAGCAGGTCCAGTTTTTATCTTGAACACAAATGCTTGTGCTAAGCACATGCTCTGCAGTATCTTGTTTTGCAATTCTCTACCTGCTTTCCTAAGCCACTGATATGTCTAAATTTCTTGGCTTTGTAATGAAAAAACAAAGCAAGGATTTATAGTATTGCATTCAGTTATATTATATGTTCCTGGCTTAGAGCAAAGTGTAATCTGGTCATGCTGGTCTGTATCTCATAGTGTACAGATTAATAGATGTCACAACAATGCCAAGTCAATTTAACCTGTAGTCTAATATGAGAAAACTCAGTAGAAAACTACTGAGGCCCAAAGCAACTGCAGATAAGATAACACAAACTGTGCATTGCATTTGCATTAATACAACCTCTCTAAAAGGAATTCTTCCTACAGTACTTGAAAATCAACTGAATTCAACTTTAAAAATATGCTCATCTATAACAAAATACAACCATCACAGAGCATTTATGGAACTTTCTTTACAAATCAAATTCAGAATATATGAATTGACACTACTTGAAGCTTGATTTATACGTTAAAAACATCACAATCAAATTCAATCTCCTAGGATTTCCCACATTTTAAAAACACAATTTGAAGCATTAATTCAATATATATTTACATATAGCATTTCAAGAGATAAAGAAATTTAAAAAAAAATCTACAACAGATTATTTCCATTGTGTTAAGGGGTCTTGTTTCCCATTTGCCAAACAGACAAAAAGCAACTAGAAATCAGAAATAACAAAACAGTTACACAGATAGGCATATTCTGTTCAGTGGCAAGTTGGGAAGGATATAGAGGATAGAGGAAAGTTAGTTTAAGAAATGTGGTGGGGGAAAAAACAATACTTGCAACAATGTCCTAGACCTGGACAGATTTTAAAAACAAACAGATGAGTTTACTATATCTATTTCACAGCTATCTAGACATAAATGGTTGGGGATTGCTTTAATAAAATCTCTGTAGTCCCAGGTTATATTGAGGCATTCTTATTTCTTGGAAACTACACTAAGAGCATCAAAAAATAACCAGGGGAGAAAACTGGGGGGGGGGGGGAAAGGATGGCTGGGAGAAAGAGGGATAAATGTAGAATTTTCCTATGTTCTGGCCCAGATATTGCAGGAAAGAATCTGAAAAACGGTAGCTAATCACTCTGAATGAAAGGATATCTCTAAATTCGATGTCGAGTGTTCCTCTTCTCAATCCACTACAAAAGGATAACTTTACATTGCAAACAGGTCCTCATACAGCTTTTTCAGAACTCAGGGTTAAATCTAACAAGGCTATTTACTCCTAACTAAGAGGAGTTAACAATACCACCTCGAACTTGAAAGAAAACGGCGGTAATTGTCGCGTTGTCAACCCCATTTCACCGCACCCAGTTGTGCGAGATCGATACGAAAGGCAGGTATAAACTGGCAAGACGTTATTGGAAAAATTCATAAATTCCTATCCCAAATTTCCTTAAAGAATACTCGATGCCAAATTTTTATACACAAAGACATAGGTACCTGGATTAACCTGTTTTGTTAATTTAAAAAAAAGAGTTAAAAAAAAGGGGGGGGGTCGTCGGGAGAATAGGAGAAAATCACGGAAGCGCTGCCCAAACCGCGCCACCTCCGGAAAAAGAGAGGACGGCGGGTAACTTGAGGAGAGGCCTCGAGCGCGCACCGCTTGGGTGGAAGACAAAGGCTGATTCTTCTTCCGCACGTTTTTTTCGACCCGGCGTTCCCAAGTGGCGCCCAGCTGCTGCTCCGGGAGGAAAGAAAGGCGAGTCCCAGCATCAGGTGCTGGGCTCCCGGCCCTCAGCCGGGGAGCAAAACCTGGAAAGCTCCAACTCGACTCAAGGAAGCGAAAGCAGAGGCGGGGAGCAACAGAGAAGGACCAACGGCGCCTCCTACCTGCCAGGTGGGACAGTCCGGAGTTTACCCGGTTACAGGCGTCGCCTCATTGTGCCGCCATTGATACTGCCGCCGCCATTTCACCTTGGTCGCCTCCTCTCAACTGTCAGGTTCCTCCATTTACCTGGGGGCGGCTGCGACAAGCTTCCTCCCCGCCCCTGCCTACGCGAAAAAAAGGGTTCCACCCCCGCTTTCGTCGAGCAGGCCCAATTCCGCGCCGTCGGCGCGAAACAGTCTGAAAAGTCAGAGTCTCTTGCTTGTCCAGCAGCGCGTCCCAGCTCGCGGCACCCACGCGACGAACTCACCTAGCATCGCGGCGTGCGCCTCGCTCTCCCTCTCACCGCGTGCCCTTTTCTCCCCAGTCCGCCTCCTCACCGTTTGCTCAATAAATAAAAGAACCGGCGCGATTGGAGAGGAAAGCCGGGTTAGAGGTCAAAGGTGGAGATATTAGCCAATCGGAATGCCGGAGACGGCCAACGGTTTGGAAAGCTGCCGGGAGAAGGAGGAGGAGTTTGCAAGAGAAATTCACGTGCGCGTATGGCCGGAGTTTAGTTCCTAAAGTGCTTTCTAGCCCTTCTTTATTGCAGAAGCCAGAAAGTTTATATTCTCAGGCTGTATTCGCGCCAACTGTGTAGAGTTGGGTCTTCTCGACGGAGGCGAGGTGGTGCCCATCAAATGTATGAAACTGCAGTCTTTCTACATGTAACTCGTGATCACAAAGAGTGCTACAAAAAAAGCCCATGCATTATTTTAAGAAGCAAAATTTGGGTATCCTTATTTGTTAGAAATTAATAAAATTAACAGTGTATTTATGTACTCATTCTTCTTTCAGGGTAAGCAACAACATACGGAACATGGAAAAACAGTATAAATAAGCCAAAGAAATAGATAAGATACTTGAATTTAAGCGTCTATGGAGATTATCAGTCATCCAGATCATGGTGGTCGCAAAGGTGCTTTTCTGAAAGGCAATGTTAAATCGCTTTGAGAGCTTACTCAGTTGAAAAATGACTGATGTATGTACAAAATTAAGCTCCCTTTTTCTTAGGGAAAAGAATATCCTAATATTTTTCTGTGTCCAAAAATAGAAAAGGAAACCAGAATACAGGAGAAAATGCACTTTCATTACATAGGTATGTTGGTATGACTCAAAGGTACAGTTTTTGGAGTCCATCGGAAGGATTTGTAGGTTTTGGGATCCAGCAGATTCCCAACATCCCATTTTACAGGTCTTGCATTGCTACTGTCAAACTGAAAATTGCCACCAGTAGCTTTATTTCAACATAGTTCTGTGTTTACAACAGCATGACAGGCAGAGAAAACAAGTATCTCTCGAGAATTCATTTCTCCAGTGATGTGTCACTCTCTGATCCACTCAACAGATTTTCAGTAATTCGAATTGAGTTAGAAATCTGTGATCCTATGTATTCATATAGACATAAAGAATAGCTGAGTATAACCCAATTCAGCTGAATTTGTTTTGCTTCTTTTAAAGCCATGTCAGTCTACATGCTCAGTGAGCTTACAGCTGTTGAAGTAACGGTTTTCTAAGGCTCAAGACTAAATCAAGATGGACAGTGTAGTACAATTTGTTTTTCATTTAAGTAAAAGACTGGTGGTTCAAAATCAGAGTTATTCTGTTGTACATACCTGGCTTATCCTAGAAAGGTAATAGTAGATGGTCAAGGGGAAAATAAGATGTAGAATGTTAAATGGAGAGAATGTTCACACTAGTTGCCTGTTTCAGAAAGTTTTACAAAAATGATAACAATGCATCTAAGTATAAATGCTAGAAGAAAAGAATACATTAGCTAGATGAGCCAGCTAGCTTGATTGACTGATTGATTCAAGGAATGTAATTGTTGGGTGGAAGCTTTCATTATATATTCCTGGCTTCAGATTTATCTCTTTATCACTGTTCCTAGTCTCTTTCATGTGATTTTTCTTTTCCTTAGTATAAAGCTAAACATTGTATATTCAAAAGAAAATAAGCAGATAAAAACAATTTTGCATAGAAAATCCATCTCTTTTATTTGAAGACTTGGGACACAAAAATATTTTAAGCTGTTCATTATTGCATCCTCTTTTTAAAAGTATGACTACAGATGAATTGTTTTGCATTGCAAACAGATATCCCATTTGCTGTTCCAATTGTGCATCTAATATTTCCTCTGAGTTTTAAAGCGTAATTGCAAACATACATTGAAGCAGGAAAAAATAAGAAAGGATAGAATGTGATTGCATTTCTATTTTTTAAAATATTAAATTTAATTTTATATCAAAGTAAAAAATACACTTTTGGTTTGCGGATGTTTTGAAGGGCTTTAGTTGGTTTGTGTGCTACACTGATTCCATGTGGTTGTTGTAATCTGTTGGTGGTTTCTGAGATATTCTTGATGTATGGTAGCGTAACTCTCTTTAGGATTTGTGTTGGTTGTGCTGTATTGGGTTGATAAAGTTGCATGGATATCCATTTTGTATAAAGTCTTTACGCAGCTTCTCTTATTCAGATGAGCCCAAACATTGCAGCAACAAAATGGATATCCACGCAACGTTATGTAAAAATATAATCTCAATTATTATTTCATTTCATATTTTTAAAATTGGTCTGTAGGCTTTTGGGGGGGGATGAAAAGCAAATTTTAAAAGCTTTGTATAAATGCTTTTTTTTACATCTGAAGCATTTCTCCATCAATAAAGCTGTCAACCCCACCAATATCATCTGTGCTTATTGTGCCTATTGTGCAACTTGGTTTCAGATTCTACTCCCAAACTCAGTAACCATAGTTGGAATCTTAAGAAATCAGAGAGCATAGTAACAGCGAGTCCACAGGTGATAAATCTTCACATGAAGTTAAAGATCCACAGATCCTACTTCAATATTTGTGTGATATTGATGGGAGTTTCCAGAAACACTGGAATTAGAAAATCAGGGAATATAATTGAGATTTGGAAGCACAGGCCTCAGTCCAATGAGTGTATTAATCATGATGACCAGGCAATTGGCAAGAATGTGATGGAAGAGAGTAGCTCTTGCTAAGATACCACTCTTGGACAATTTTTATTGGAGTATGGATAATACCCTTGAATAACACGGTGACTATTAACTCAGTATGACATCTTAAGAATTTTTTTAAATCAACCAATGAATTCATTGTACAAACAAGTGAATAACAATGTGTACTAACCTTGTTTCATTATGGATAAATTCTTGTTTCATTATAAAAAAATTTTAAAGAGAATTTTAGGAGAATTAATGGAGTATGAGCCTCTACGTTCTGTATGGAACATGCCTCCTAAATATTAGTCTGATATTCTCAGGACTCCTCCTTTCTCCCTCCCTCAACTATTCTTTTTCTCTTCTGACTTTGAACTGTGCCACTTGCCAAGTGCCTGAATTGTGATCCCATGATTGCAGGGATGCTGCAAGGCAGCAACTTTGAGGACCATTCATAAGTCTTCTTTTTCAGCACTGTTGTAATTTCAAATGGTCACTGAACAAGTGGTCAGTAAACAAGGATTATCTATATGTTGTTTCCTGAATTAAGCTTACCTTTATTTTCTTTCAGGCAAGCACCAGCATCAAGAATACTGATAGAATATAAAAGTTATACTCTAAGTAAACTCTGTCCACATATTTTTTTTCTATTATATAAATGTGATTTTTCAGTGGTTTCTCAAATTACAATACAGGAAACATGCTTGTGTAATGTAATGTAACTTATATAATAAGTCTAAGTGGCATATATGATAAACAATCTATAATCCAGTATCTAGTCCAGTGTTTTTCAATCTCGGCAACTTTAACATGTGGACTTCAACTTTCAAAATTCCCCAGCCAGCTTCAGCAGTGGTAATGTATAAATTATCTTAAAAATAGCACAACTGCTTCCCAACTTTTTCTAATATGAGAGTCACAGACTTTTCCCCATGGCTGAGTGAAAGTGCTATCTGTCTCCTTGAAGTGGCAAAAAGTATGCTGGCATCCCCATCCGTATTCTGCCAAATAAAGGAGCTGGTAAATGACATTGTTCTTATTGGATATAGTCATGTCATAAAGATTAGAGGATTGTTATGTCAACAACCACCAGCAAGCTCCTTTGCTCCAATATTGGTGAAATACTCAAGAGCAATTAAAAACTTTATTCCAATATTGGTTTCAGTAAAAATAAGTTGCTGGAATTTATGTATCCCCAACTTCATGGAATAAATATATATTAATATATAAATATACAGAGAGGCCAATCCTAAACAACATATGGTTTTGAAACAAATTTTGGAGCCAATTCAAAATGCTTGGGTATGTGTGTATGAATATTAGCCCAAGACCTCAGCACTGAAGGTTATGGAGCATAATCCATCACATTTGTCCAGTGTGCTTTGGTAGATAATTGTTTTTCAAGTTCTCAATCTAGGACTGAGAGAGAATGACTGAATAAAAGTTACCCAGTTATTTCTGTGCCTGAGGGAGGATTAAAATCTGGGTCCCTCCAATCCTTGTCCATTATCTCAGCCACTATCCTACACTGATTCTATCTGTATGTATCAGATTTCAAGGCTGTGCAAATAAGCTAGAAATAAAGGAACAAATTTTGAAAATCAAAACACTCTCAGTACAGATTTCCCTACAAGATTGTTCATTTTATTTTGCATCCTATAAAGCAAGGCATAAATGTACAAAAATCCTGAATTAATTCATTAACCGAATGTCTTCACTCTGTGTAGATCTCTCTATACAAATATATATTATGTACACAAAAGTCTTATAATGCAACAGTAAAATAAGAATACCCATGGAACCAGCTCTGAGCCCAATAAGAAAAGACTACAAGATCTGAGCTTGTTGATTTAGAAAAAGATGAGGAAGGAGATGTCAATGTTAAAGTTATGCAACATGAACAAAGTAGACAGAATATCTTTTCTCTCATACTAAAACTATGGTTTTCAATGCAATTGAATGATAGATGATCAGGACAGAATAAACAGAAATATTTCCTTCAAGAGGTCTATAAAATTTGCTGCCACAGTATGTAGTAATGCCCCAACTTGGACAGTTTTAAAAGAGGATTAGATCAATTCACAAAGAGTAAAGTTACCAGTAACTACTAATCAAAATGGCTACAAATTATCACAGAGATATATATGTATGTGAGTATCCATTGCTAAGATATTATGAGGAAGGAGATGCTTTTGCCTTATTATTTTGTTAATGGGCTTCTGGTTGGTCTTTACAGGAACAAAATCAGCCCAAATAGGCTTTAATCCCTTCCTTCCTAATCCTGACCTGTTTATTTT